GTTCCAAATCTTGAGATGGGTATGGCTACCAAAGCTATCCATTGGCTGTGTCTAAACGATTCACCAATGAAGGGTGTAAAGGCATACATACAAGCCAGTCATACATACTGGAACTTTAATCACAGTACTGGAAAAAAAAAACTTTTAATAAGTTTCTTTAAATCATCTTCATTAAGTTACTACTCAATTCTATACTACACTGGTAGTGCACAGCATTAGACTCAGCTACAATGGTGTGCCAACAGCAATATATACAGACTGCCTCTCAATGCACACAAACTGCTGACACACTAAGGAGAAACTAAAATGTGGACAAACAGGACAGGTTTGACAAGGATTTTACTTTAAGATAAGGAATAAAGAAGTTAAGGACAGGCTTACCATTAAACAGCAAAAAATACTAATCAATTCTGGTACATTGACCAATTGTTTTTGTGAAATGATGCGTAATTGTATTCATTTCTACTGTATATCTTCTTCTTTGTGTTCTAGCACTGTATAACAGGCAGGTACTGTGCAGTGTGTCTGCATTTCCTGGAAGAGATGACATCAGAGGGTCGCCTACAGAGATCTGCCTTCCTACACTTATATAGATGAGCCTTTGGTTTCAGCTCCCTTGTAATGTGGAAGAAGAACAAAACCAGTCACTGTTTACTGTGGATTTGCATTAAACCACATTCGGGTTTAATATGAAGCCTGTCATCATTCTTCTTCTGCTGGCAGTATTAGTAAGTGTATTTGCAAAATTGTTTTCTTTATTGCATCTTCAGCTGCTGTTAACATATGAAGAAAAACAATATACTTTTAAATACAAGGAAGGGTGATTAGTAGAATAAGCTAACCTGATCGTATTTTAAAAAATTGAATACAATGAAACTTTTTTTATTTCATAGTCAAGGTACTATTGTTTAAATAGTTCTCATTGAGTTTTATGAAACCCATAGGCGTCATCGAATGACTTCCACAGGTTGGTGTCTTTAATGAAATTCCTTTAATTGTATAAATCCATACCGTAAGCGTATTGAGATAAAGTGGGGAAAATGACCATTTCAAAAGTAGTCGACTGCAAGCAGCATGTGCCTTTGAGGACTGTTTTGCATTTGAAAGAGTGTTGAATATTTCTAAAAAGATTGACCACATCTGGATTCCCAAAACAAAAGAAGGGAATGAGGCAGAAATAACTAGAAAATAGGCAAACATATGCAGGTTCAAGTAAGTATCAATTTCTCTTTTGCCCAAGGCAATTGCTAGAATCTTAATATTTTGAAACTTCATGGTTAACTACACTGCGTTGGTAACTCAAGAGAAATAAACAGAATGTGTTTATATAGCATAGTAAAATTCATGTGTTACCTCTCACTTGAAACAATCAAGAATAATAATGACACACAGGTTTAGGCACATACTGCACTGTGCTGAAACAGCGGATTTCAGAGTGGTGGAATGGCTTTAATATTACTTTTGAGACAGATAATAGCTGCAGGCACATACTGCAGCCATAAAAACTCCTAATGAAACAGAAAATTTGCAATAATAAACAATATTGAAAAACTAGAGAAACATTTATTTTGCGTAGTTCTGTTAACAGGAAACACTGGTATTAAGAGGCATATTATCAAATACAATTTTTACTTCTGTTTTACTTGCTCCTATTCTCGGTATTTACTTCTCAATTTAAATTCAATACAAAGCAATGTTAGACTTCAGAGAAAACAGGCAGGGATAACATCTAACATCTATGTATAATGTTAGATATCTATGTATCTATGTATAAAACCAAATTATTGCCCGACACTGAGCTTTTAGAACATTGTACTATAAGTACTAATGAACCAACATTATTTCTTATTTTTATGATGATAAACATTTTTATATACTTGCATAGTTTACACATTTTGTTGTGATGCAACATGCAATCACAACACTTTTACATAGCAATTAGTATTAAACTAAAAAAGGGTTACATATGCAACCTGCTGTACTCATTCAAAGGAAACAGAAAAAAGTAGATTGATCATTGATATGAAAGAAAAATGGTCATAATTACACAAGTATTTAAATCCTTTGCTGTGGCAATCTTAAATACATTTGGTCTTTGTCTCTACTGTATGTGATAATAGTGAATTGCATGACTTAAGAATTGATACACCTGTCACTGTAAGGTCTTTAAGTCAGGTAGTGAATGGCAAGCTACTATTACAACCAAGGAGCTTAAAAAATAACGTAGGGATACATTTGTAGAAAACCACAGATCGGAGGAAATGTATAAAAAATCAAAAACACTGAATATCCCTTGGAGTACTGTAAAGCTGATCAATAAGAAGTGGATTGTGTATCAAACCAGCCAGACCCTGCCTACTGTAGATCTGATTGTCCCTCGTAACTGAACTGCTGGGAAAGGAGGAAACTAGTTAGGGATGTAACTGTGAAGCCAATGGTCAATCCGAAAGAACTACAGTATACATATCATTTCTGAGATGAAAAGTCAATAATCCGCAAAACTGGTCTACATGACAAAATGGAAAAAATCTCAAATTCCTTTCCAGATATTTCTCTTGTACTAAAGAATCTGCACTGGCTAACAGTTCCTTACAAGGTTGAATTTTAAATTCTCTTATTTGACTACCGGGCACTGCAAGGTCTGTGTAATGTGTACCTTCAAGTGTTACAATCCCCACATTTCTAGTTCACTCTTTGTTCCACTGGCTCTAGGCTCCTCAGCCTTCCTAGAGCTTCATACCGTTGTGAGAAAAAGTTTGTCAACCCTTTGGAATCACCTGTATCCCTGCATTAATTGCAAGTAAGTTCAGAGTTGAGATGTAACCAGATCAGCAGGGGCTACATTTTATAATATGGTCAGGAAGAGTATTCCGTAAACCAGGGGCTACCACTGAAAAGGTTCCGTCCCCTAACATACAGTGGTCAGAAAAAGATTGTGAACCCTTTGGAATTATTTGCATTCCTGGAGTAATCGGTGGAATGACCTGAAGCAAACCATGCATACAATACATCCCATAAATATCAATGAATTGAAATATTTCTGTTAAGAATAAGCCCAAATACCCCGAAACTATTGTGCAGGATCGATCAACAGCTACGGGAAACATTTGCTTGAGGTCATTGCTGCTAAAGGAGGTCCCCCTTGTTACTAAAGGTTTGCAAACTTTTTCGAGCATTGACAGTGAATGTTTAATGTTTGTGTTCAATATAGACAAGAAAAGTACAGTTATGTGTTATTTGTTTAATCGGACTGTATCAATTATTATGACAGAGATGAAGGTCCGATTACAATTTAGGCACGATTACTGCAGGAATATAAATAATTCCAAAGGGTTCACAAAATTTTCTGTCAAATTTATGTTAAGGAACTTAGCCTTTTCAGTGGTAGCCCTCCGTTTACAGAATACTCTTCCTGACCATATTAAAATACGCTGCCATGGCTAATCTGGTTAAATCTGACCTCAGAATTCATTTGTTTTCGATGGCATCAGTTCTTAACCTAATTTGTTCTTTTTAATTTAATACTTATACATCATTTTATTATTCTCCTTTTTTACTGTACACCATTTTATGTGATTGATTTATGTAAAGAGCTTTGGGAATGTTCTGGATTGAAAGGTACTGTATAAAAAAAGAAGTTGACATCTTGATGTCAATTTAAAGTAATGTTAACAGTTAAAGTAATACCTTTTCAACAGTGATTGGTGGTTTTACTGTAGTTTGAAGTTGCAAACTGTGACACCAAACTATTGTTCTCTGTAATTGTTTTCTTTTTTCCTTGAGTTCTCTCATAAAGGAAGACTTTTTAAAACTTGATTCAATGTTCTATACCCATATAGACGTGATTGTGGTTATCTTTTTTTTTTGTTCTTGAGGAGTGGCCTATAAAAGCTTCAGGTGATCAACTTCTCTGGAAACTGTTCAGTCCTGGCTTCTCCAGACTGCTTGCATCAGACTTTGGAACGTTTTTAGCACACATAGACACATAGAAGAATTTGTGTAACATTATGCACTGTGAATGTACATTTGTTTATATAGTATTTCGTATTCATATACTGACTATGATTGATTTTTCTGCCTCTTGTCAATACTTGCAGGATGTAACTGATTCACAATCCATTCGGAGTCGTCAGAAACGGGCTTGGATCATTGATTCATTAACCATTGAGGAGGAAAACCCAGGTCCTTTTCCTTATTCCTTGGGAACGGTAAGTACACAGGATGTGTAAAATGGAAACTATAATAAGTGAAATAAATATGCAACTACAAAAGGTTGACTACAAGTGCTACAGAGGCTCTTACTGCCGTGTATTGGCACTGTAGTGTAATTAACAGTAGTTTTTCACGAGGCTGGAGGAAATGACCTCGAACAAACGGAGGGATGGCCAGAAATAGCTCATACAGCATGTCACAATCAAGAGGTGGTGATGGGTTATACCTTGTGCTTCATTACTGGACTTTTTTAGTCGCACGTTTTGGTGCCTGTAGTTTTTTGTTCTCCATTTTAAACTAAGAACGTCATAAACAACATTTTAAATCAGACATTTACATGAGAAAATCCCAGAAATTAAAAAACTGAACTGAACGATTTATATAATCTAGGCACACCCATGTGAAAACCTTTTATAAAAGATTAAAACAGAGAGATTTGTAGGGTAAAAAGATTTGTTAGGTGGGTGTGGAGCAGCTGAAAAGAGGATAGAAGAGCTCAGAACAAGCAGTTTACATGATTGCCTTAAAGCGAATGTAGATACTGTATTGTAATCACAAAATACTTGAAGATTATATGCAACAAGTTTCATTGATATAAATGTTGCTTATACCTCGTACCACTGCAGTTGAATTGTTTCTTAGGTTTTTAATTCTCAGAATTTTTACTGTTGTTCATTATGGACTCGTTGAATGTAAACTACTTGTAAGAGTGGTTTGATCATATGTAATAACTACATGCAACACTTGTTGTGGACTCTGTAACAGTACTTAATATTACAGCAGTGACAGAGAATGTATTAGGTTTTAATAGAGTGTCCATAGGAAGTCATTAGATTAGGCCAGTGTTCCCTGGGGATTGGTATGTCATATACAGTAGATCTGAAATTGTTTTATATCCCAAGAACGTTATAGATTAGTTCCATTATATTCATTTCAGTCCACATAACAATATCAATTCCTGAAAGAATTGAAAGGGCATCTAGATATTGCAACAAAATAAATACAGACTAGTAACCTGGAAATTAAAAGTTAAAGATCAACCCTTATGTCAAAGTTGGGAGAGTTAGTGTTTGAGGAATTGTTTTAATGCTTTAAACATGTTGTATTTTTGCATTTTTAGATCGAATTGGAAAGTGAATACCGAATGTTATTCACATTACATGGTAGCGGGGTAGACGAAGACCCAAAAGGCATCCTTCAAATTAATCCATCTACGGGAGAGATTAGAGTGCTTGGAAAGGTAGACTATGAGAAATACCACAAACTGAAGGTAAGTGAAAAAAACCCTGCTATTGACATTTCTGAAGAACTAGACTATGAAGATAGACTATACCACAACCAGTTTTTTTCTGACTAGCTTCATTTCTTGGGTTATGGATTGTGCTAGGAGATATGTACAAGATGTTACATGCAGCCCTTATGCGCTAGTCACAAAGTATGTAAAGCCAATCCACCACCAGTTCTTGAAGGCAAAGGGCTTGGAGCTGACAACATTCCAGCATGGAAGAGTTGGGGTGTCTGTAATTCCTGCACGCTTGCTTGTAAGACACTGCGCACTGTGGGTTCTCACAGTCTACTGTGGAGTATTTAATAGTTACAGGAGACCAAGGGGCCAGTCAGAGAAAAAGCTAGATCAGACAGGCCAAATATATATGATCTAGAGGGCTGAGCACACGTTTGTATACAAACGTTTTGAATACATATATATGGGTGTATTTCTTATTCTTTGGACAACAGAATTTGTTTTTTGTCAGGCCCATTGTTACTGCCGCTACAATATGTTTTGTAAGATATTTTGGACACCAATGTACTGCCAGTATTGATAATGTTTTATGTTGAGACCTTGTATATTTACCAAATAGATTACAATTGTGAACCTACACATTGTGAACATGTCCTTTATTATTTTTTTCTTTGTTTATTCTAAATTTGTCCACTTACATTTGGAGTAGGATATCTAAGCTTTAGCAACTTGAAAATATATATTGATGATGCTAAATTTCAAAACTTGTTATTTAATAAATGTAATTTTATTGTTGTAATGTTTATTTTTAATTCCTCTTTAATTTACACAGTTACAATTTGAAGCCAAAAACGCTTCCACTGGCATTTTGGATACACGGCTTGGAGTTGAGATCAATATTTTGGACATAAATGATCACCCACCAACCTTTCAAAACACATTGTATGAAACTACAGTTAAAGAATCAACATATCAGGGTAATTGCATTATTCTATTACATAAATATTTGTAATATTCAAATAAACGTACTGCATGATTAGTTTCACAAAGCTACGGCAGAATGCTGTTTTTCTTACAGTTACATATTCATAGTACAACAGACAGAAATCTTGATTCAGATAGAAATAAGGTACCATTGCCAATCATACAACATTATTAGAATCCAACTATGGTTTGGGATATATAAGAGCTGCATCTGTCAATGTATAAACAGGCCAGTTATTCTATAAATTTGCCTGTGGCATCAGAGCCAGGAGACTCAAAGGAAACCCAACTAGCTTTGCAGCCTGAATGAGAGTTATCTTAAAAATCTAAATTTACCTGAAATCCCTGTTTCTTAAAAAAAAGAATTGAAAATATAATGCATTGTTATTGATTTGTAATTTACATAGCCAGTACAGCCAGAATGACATGAACAAAACTCACTCACTTAGTGGCAGACTGTATGTTGTAGTGTTATAATTTTAAGATCTCTTTTTTTTAGACATTGTATTTGGTGAGACTGTTGTGTTTAATAATTTACACTATTTATGTCACTTGTGTATTTTGTGATGATACGCGTGATCGATCAGACTTTTACTTTTACTTCCTTGTGATTTAATAAAAATGATGACATTTTTTAAGGATTTATTTTAAATCAAAGATTATAAGAACAGTTTATTAAAATCTTAAAATACCATAAGTGCAAAGAAAGACGGGCACCTATTATTTTTGAAAGAATTAAAATGCAAGACATGTAGGTTTAGTAATGATTGATCAGTGTAATCTGTCTACTGTGATCCATTTACAAATAAAGGAGGAATAATCAGGAATTTGTTTTCAATTTGGTTATCATAGTGAGGGCCAATAGCTATTCATAAAACAATCTGTAAATTACAAATCTGGAAAACTCACTGGGTGTATCTATATTTGTTTTTATTAATTTACTTCTAAAACACACCTTTAACATTTTTAAGTTGAGGGAAAATGTTAAGTTTTAAATTTAACTAAATTAAAATAGATTTGTACATCTACTGTATAGCTCATGTTTCTTTTTATGCATTGGAATCATATGCATATTATCAGTGCATATAATATTCTATTGTGTGCATTATTAATATAATGAGATATAAAGTATTGTATTTTCAACTTGCAGCGTATTGCTTATAAAGGACCTTTTCCCTGGAGTTTGGGTGCATTAATATGAAATTATATCATACAACAATTCTAGGCACTTTTATAGGTTTGGCTTTTACTGTACCTATAGACCTATCCGTGTGTTAGTCCATCAATTAATTATTGCATTTTTATAGTGCTTTTTGTGTCAATGTATCCAAAAGCACTTTTCGTATAGGAGAAGACCCACTTCATCCCATTATGAAGAGCAGCTCCCACCTGGGTGATATGCAGGAACCATTAGATGGCAATAACCCCTACAACACAGTAGAATTGTAGGTGTAATGTTAGAAATTGTTTCATCGAATGAATAAAAGGGAAGCTTGAGGAAGGCCAGATTGTACAAACCTAGAGTGCAATTTAACCAGGACATAGGGTTAACATCCCTACTCTTTTGATTGTCAAGGGATCGTTAACGACTACGTCACTGTACTGTAAGCAGTCAGGACTTTGATTTAAGATCTCGGCACCTCCTACAGTAGAGTGTCCCCAGGCACTACAGTGGGCTGTTTGTTTGTGGAAATTCTGCTCAGGAGTACCACCTAATGATCACCAGATACTGCTCGCTTTTATTGTTTATCGTTTTACGAATCTTTGAGACGTGGCATGTGCAAAGGCTAGGTAAAACAAATCAAGGCCAATTACATTTTAAAAGTCCTTTTTTACATTCAAAGACAGTTTACAAGGAAAAAAATAAATGCTTGCATAGTTCTTAATGTCTGCAGAGCCTTGGGCGTGCAGTGTGCTCATTATTTATAAGAACCTGTCTGGACTATTTTTAGAAATATTAGGGTTTGCAAGATATCTGTGATTCAGGCTACCTGAGTGTATCCAGCTGGCTTTGGGGTCAAAAGTCCAAATCTTTGAATTTTCAGACTCGAATTCTCTGATTAATTTATAAAATAATTGATCAGCAAACTGGTAATTTTATAGACTAATTGCTGAAACAGACACATAGACATTTCTAAATAAACTGTTTCTTATATATGCCCCCAATTAACCAAATAAACCCTAATATATAAATTATTGAAGTTTAAACAGAAATGCAGAGGGCTGGTAAGGAATACTGGACACATTACACCAGCATTCAACATCAAATGTTTCTCATTTAACATTTTCCCCTTTGATTGTGATCAGAGTTACTGTGTATTCTTGGCTTTCTGTCATACATCTCTAGAATTGTATTGCCATCTATTTTTATCATTTTAGTCCTAATCTGCTGTTTAGTCAGGCTGCTCATTTCTTTTTCACTCCTTGATTAATCACAGCCTAAACCAATGCAATAAGATTGAAGTCAGATATCTCGCAAAACCAGCATGTCAATTCAGAACCTCTTATTTGTGGTGCAAAGTACTCTGTGTGGAGTGAAAAGAACTATATATGTGTAAGGAATAATTATTATTATTTCCTTTTCACTAATAAGGGTTTAATCTTAACATTTATACTCAATATTTATTTGTGAAGGTCAACTTACAATTACAGGAATAATTTAAAAAAGAATTACAATGCATTTCACCTTAGGTAAAAAAATAAAAATTTCACCTCAAAGTACATACATGAATCCATGAGTATATTACAGTACATTCATTCATCAAGGGCTTTTATTTGTCTTCTTAATTAGCTTGTTTTGTGTTCTTCTCACAGGTAATTCTCTCATTATTGTGTCAGCAACAGATCTGGACAAACCAGACACAACAAATTCAACATTTTCTTATAGGATTGCTTCAGTGTCCCCTATGACAAAGGATGTAGAGTTCACTATTAATGAAAAAGGCACGGTTTCATTCAAAGGATGTTTGGACTATGAGGTGAGTGATATTTTTACACAGTCCATCAATAGTGATAATCGTTCTTCACATTCTGGAAAAAATCTGCAAGCCCGGTGGGCATCACAAATGACAGAGAGAAAAAAAAGCCTCAACTTTCACCAACTTGTCATGGATCAGTAAAGAAGAATGGGCAAAATTCCTGAATGTCTATGCGAGAGACTTACATGCAGTTACAGCTAAAGTTGAAGTCATTGCTGTTCAAGAAGGTATCACCAGTTACTGAATGTAAGGATTTACTGTTACAGTGCAAAAGCCAAAATTAAACTTGGACCCTATGAGGTTAATGCTTTAATCTGAGGAACAAGTATTAGTGAAAGCCAGATGTACTGATCTAATAGTTAGTATCCGAAGTCATAGTCAAAGAAAGTCTAAGGCAGAAAGCCAGAGGTTCAGGAAGCAAACAGCAGAGATCACAAGAAACTCTTAATTGAGGAGCACCTGTGGGAAACCCAATACCGAGCATTGAGATGTTGAGAAGGAGTCCTTAAGTACTCTGGTGTGGTGGTGACTGATTGAATAATTAATTAATGTGTCTGGGTTTGCGGGGACAGGAGGAGGCTTGTGTCTGATTGTGTGAGACATTTACATACAGTATTTATTGACCAGGATAGTTAAGGATGTATATTCAGTGTAATTACATACATCTACAAAATTGTATATCTTTTTGTTGTGCAATTAATTAGGTTATCTTCATCGTTTAATAAGATCTTCATGAGGGCCCTGTTAGGTCTAAAATGTAACAGGAATAAGGACCAACCCAGGGGGCTCAGCATCTTTTTCCCAGCACTGAAACTCAGAGCATCCTGATGAAATGGCAGAGCAACATCAGGTTATTCAAAATAACAATATAAATTAATGGAATCATTAATTTAATTAAAATCAATGTATTTTTAAAGAAAATAAAAAGACAAATGGAAAACAAATAAGTGAGATACAACCTAGCAAATAATTATGCCAGATAAAAGCACATGGGTGTAACCTACCAAATACCTGCATTACTCCAGTCACAGAAAATGTACATTCAATTTTATTTTCCCAGATGATAATCATCCATCTGTTTTCTAGCTTATTCATCGGGATCCAGGAGCCAAGAGCCCAAGATGATAACCATTCTATTGTTGTTCTGTTTTACAGCAAACAGAGAAATACACCATCATCGTAGAAGCTAAAGACCATGGCGAGAAAGTAAAGCTCTCAAGTTCCACAACTGTTCTGTTAACTGTGCAAGATGTTAATGACAATCTACCAATTTTTCTTAGTCCAAAAGTGAGTGTTCATATTCACACAGTACCTTGCAAAACTGATCAGACCCTTTGTATTGTGTCCTATTTTGTGAAATCACACACATTATTTAAAACTCTATATTTAATTTAAAACCTGAATGCTCATAATGAAGACTTGTAAAGGCAAGATAAGTTACAGTAGTCATCAGCAAAAACTAAAATGAATAAAACAGATGGCAAAAGTATTCAGGCCCACAAGCTCAAAATTATGTGGAAGCCCCTTTGGCAGCAATCACAGCAGCACATATTTTGGGCAAATGTCTACCAACTTAGTACACCAGCTTGGTCCAACGTACATTATGCCCATTCACCTTGTCAGATTTGTTCAAGTTTTCTCAAGTTGCTTGGGGGTTGCTTCTGGACAGCAGTTCTCAAGCAGTTTTGTCTCAAAACAAAACACATTTTCAAGTATTCAAGCCAGGATTTTTGATTGAAACACTGAAGTAAATTCACTTTTTTATTCTTAATCACCTGCAGTATAACTGTGCTTTGGATCATTGTCCTGCTGAGAGGTACATTTTTTTAACCAGTTTTAGGTCTGAAACAAGTTTTCTTCTAAGATTTGCCAGTACGTTACACCAAGTGTTTTGATGAGCTTTCCAGTCCCTGCTGATGAGAAGAAGACATAAGATTCCACCATCATGCTTAGCTGTAGGGTACCTGGGTAGCTGTAACTATAACAGCCATCTGTTTATGACTGGGTGTTGCACTCTGTTTTGTGCCAGACGTATTTCGTTGCAATTATAGCAAAAACTACCACTTTTGACCTGTTTGACCAAAAATAATTTAACCATGTTTGCAATATCATTTAAATCCTTTGTTGCAAACCATGTGGCATCTGCAATGGGTTTGCCACCCTGCCAAACTGGCCATCTTTGTGGAGTGACTTGTAATTTTCTCTCATTTCACCCTTTGAACTCGTAACTAATCTAGGCAGTCTCTGTGTGGTAGAATGCATCTTCCATTTCTTGATTTCTTGCTCACAGGGATATACAAACAGATAGATATTTTTGTGCCATTCTCCTGATCTGTGATTTTAAAGTATTCTATCTCCGACATGCTTTAAAATATCCTTAGTGTTCAAATTCACTACATGATTAAGGAATCTGTTGTTCTTCTACTGATAATAAAATCACTAGAACCATTATTATTGCATATAAACATACAGTAAGCTACTCAACGTATTTGTGTGGCTTGTTAAGGTCATAATAATTTTAACTTCTTTCTTTGCATGTGTGGAGTAGGTTGTGTATTTGACAAGTACCTATTTCTAATTCATGACTGCAATTTTTAAAGGAACAAAATCTGTAAAACTATGCAGAGGTCTGATTATATTTGATAAAAATTGTAAATGTTATTTATACTGTACCTGTACATACTGTAACATTTTCTCAGGTCCAACAAACATCTTCCATGAAAGCAAAATTTCTTTCACCCAAATAATGGTCGATTTTGACTGGTACCGTATACTGTATATAAATTATGATAAGTCTCCAAGTTTGTGACAAGACATAACTTTATTTTTATTTATTTTATAAGAAATGATGTGCTTGGGAGTATCTCAAATTTATGCATGACTGACTCACTGACTTTGTGTTTTAGCTGACTGTCAAAGTGAAGGAGAGGTATGAAGGAGTGACAGCTCTCAGAATAAAGGTAAATGACAAAGACAAAAAGTCAACTTCTGCCTGGAACGCAAAATACATCATTGAAGATGACAAAGACGGAAACTTTCAGATAACTACAGACCCAGAGACTAATGATGGAATCTTGACTGTTGTAAAGGTAAATATTTTCTCACTTAAAATTCTCTAGTTGCATCAGATTGGCTCATCGGGTAAAACAAACAGATGTTATGTAGGACCACAGCCTTGAGATTACAATTATAAAATTTGGTCTGCGTCATTCACCACGTAAGGTTGTTGGCAATGCAATACTAAGAATGGTTGAGGAGGGGACAGCATGACGAACTTTATCTTGACATGCAGCACCAATCAGTGGTCAGGAGCCTGTGTGTTCAGTCTAAGTTAATGCTGTGTTTATCCAAACCCTTCCACTGGAATCTCACAGATTCTTTGCTAGAATTGCAGTACAAGGACAAACACTAATAGGAGGCTTTCTGACCTATCAAATCCATCTAGGTTTGAAATGGATTGTAAAACTGGATCACCCTATACAATTCTGTTTTAGGGTATGAAATGGGCAAGACTAGTACTGTACAGCATGTCTATAAACACATGTTCAGATGATCTATTGCTTGCAGAACTTTATTTATAAAAAATAAACTTTATGATGAATCAGATACTAGAGAGTAACCACAATTAGCTATTGCTACATAGTGGGGTCAACTACATTGCATTCTTCATTTCCTGAATCTTTATCCTGACTGCCCTATCCTATAATGGGATGTTCGGTACTATACGCATTGTAGCAGAATCCAATCCTACTCCTTCAAAAAAGGTTCAGTGGCATGAAACCAGAATAAGTCCAGATGAACATGGGAAGATCTTGCAAACTATACACAGCAGCTGCCCCATTATGAGCCCTAGCTGTACCACTCTGGATTATATTGCATCCATACAGTACATAATGCATAACGAATTAACGAATAAAGGCGCTTCAAACAGATAGACTGACATGAACAGCACCAAGATTTTCAAGCTCTTGCTGTCAAGATGGGGATATTCTGTCCTTTTTTTAATTCAAAAAGAGGTTTAAACAGCGAAAGGGTGAGGACATTAAATAAAAAAAATGTTTTTAAAGCTCTGTCATTTTTCGGTTTGATTAGCTGATTTTCCTGCAATGCTAAGTCAATTGCTAGTGGGTGTTTAAAAAAGGATTATGCACCCATTCTGTATCTGCTCTTGAGTCTTTTGTAGCTGAAAAGTGTTGTTCAGAAATTTCAGATAATAATGTCAGATCTTCTTTTATTTCAAGTCCCTGCATGTTCTCCAAAAGTAGAACAGGTATCAAGGACTCCTGTCCACATCGTTTCTCCAGGATATAAGCTTTGTTTTGAAAGTCACGATCTTGTCTGTCAGTTTGAAAACTGTCATCCTCCCTTACAATGACATGTTCAATTCCTTTAGTAGGGTAAAAATGTAGCTCAAGTACACAAGCTTAGGGAAAAAATTCTTCTCACTGAAGAAGTCAGCCATAGCATAATTTTCCTCTGACACAAATCTTTGCAGCTCTTTTTCTTAAGTGAATACTCTGTGACCATCTGTATTCTGGATAATCAACACAAATCTGTGCAAAGCAGATAGTGTCCGAGACGTGCACCCGAACAAGGATTCAAACTTCAATATAATGTGTATTATTACCAGGTGATCATTTCTACTTCCCAGGTCTTTGTAGTGAATAAAAGAGTGACCATCTTATTATTCTGCTGTCACTGTGTTCAGCTGCAGGGCTGGAAAGTCTTGGGCATGGCGGTAGTTCCCACATCATGGACTATCTCAACAAGACACTAGCTTAGCTTACTTGAAACAGACAGAACTCTGATCAGTACCGCGCATCAAATCTTCACGAAGGTCATGCTTGAATATGTGTCCTTTGCAACTTTGATTGATTGACCTGAATGGCAGTGCTTGTAGAGGCTTTTATTCTCTCTAACATTTGTTCCTCTGCCACTGGCCACATCTGTCATCAGATAAAGGAACTTGGCTTACTTTTCTAACGACTGAAAAATCTTCCCACAGACTGGAAAGGGTTCTGTACAGTTTGTTTAAGCACTTCAGTAATAATTAATTGTTTTTTCTTCCTCTGAAATGAGGTAAATTGGCATTTATGATGCCTTCAGAACAAATGTTGTTGTTGATGTGAAAAGTGCTGGTCGTTTTGGCAACAACCATTTTGACTCAGCCTTTCTGTGTTCAAAATAATAATAATAATAATAATAATAATAATAATAATAATAATAATAATAATAATCATTGCTTACACTTATATAGAGCTTTTCTGGACACTCCACTCAAAGCGCTTCACAGGTAATGGGGACTCCCCTCAACCACCACAATTGTGCAGCATCCACCTGGATGATGCGACGGCAGCCATAGTGCACCAGAAAGCTCACCACACATCAGCTATTAGTGGGGAGGAGAGCAGAGTAATGTAGCCAATTCATAGACGGGGATTATTAGGAGGCCATGATTAGTAAGGGCCAATGGGAAATTTGGCCAGGACGCCGGGGTTACACCCCTACTCTTTTCAAGAAATGCCCTGGGATTTTTAATGACCAAAATACTCATCAGGTTTTTGAAAGACGAAGATGTTTGTCTTAGGTGTCTAATACGTTTTAATGGGTTTCATTATATTCTTGCTTAGTGTTTCAGAACATAAAAGACACAGCTGGCTTTGAAGCCTCCTCATTACCAGACTTGATGAATCCAAACTGAGCATAGGAAGGAGCATATTTGAAACTACAACCAGATTTTCCTCGGTGCCCACACTTGCCTTTTATTAGTTTAATTTTCTCTGCCATTAGCTTCATCGTCCAAGGTTTCACAGTCCTGTTTTTACCTGACTTTCTGACCAAAAAAGCAATCGAGAGAACACTGACATCATGTGGATCGGAACAGTTTTTTTCTTTCCATTCTGGCAGAGCAATACAGCAGACAAAACCAAAGGCATGACGTGGGAGGGAGGATATTATCAATATTACTTCTGTGACTTGTAAGGTCTTGCACAAAAGCAAAAGATACTAAAGCATTAAGGCAGCATGGTGGCGCAGTTGTTAGCAGTTGTTAGCATTGCTGCCTCACTGATCAGGGTTCTGGACCAGGGGAGCTACATGTTTGGGGTCTGTATATTCTCCCCATGGTCACTGTGAGTGTCCTCTGGGTGCTCCAGTTTACTTCAACAGTAGGACACAGGTGTATTTTTCTTTAATCGTGTGAAACACCTCAACTGCACACAGGTGGACTCCAGTCAAGTAATTATGCGACTTGGAGAAGAGAGTTGGTTACTTCAGAGGTAATTTATGTGTGTCAAAACAATGGGGTGAATACTTTTGCATTCAATTATTTTCTGTTTTTTATTTTTAATTAATTTAGTAAAATGTCTGGATTTTTTTTTTCGCTTTGACATTATAGAGTACTTTGTGTTGATGAGTGGCAAACATTTTCAGTTAAATACATCATGGTTCCATGCTGTAACACCAAAAAACGTTAAAAATTCCAAGGGGGGACAATACTTTTTCAAGGCACTGTATATTCTAATGCCAATATTTTGATAATTTTAGTGAGAACATTTCAATTTCTTCTGCCTTTTTTGTATCACAGCCACTGGACTTTGAAAAATGTAATGGGAGGAACTTATCTGTAACAGTGATGAATGAAGAGGACTATTCTTCATGTACTGTGAAGAAACAAAACCCCACAGGGCGTTGGAATGTGGAAATGAAACATTATGATGCCAGTAAGAGACACCTGCTGGTACTGATGAAACAGACAGTGGAAGTCATTCTAGAAGATGTCAATGACCCCCCGGAATTCACACCAACAATTAAAAATATTTATATTGCCGAAAACACAGAAACAGGCCATGAACTGGAGACAATGACTGCGGTGGACCTGGATGATAAATTTGCTGGTGAATTTGTGTATGTTTGCAGAAACAATATCTAAGGAAATTTCAATTTTATTATTTTCTTGTTTCATCAAATCAAATGACCTACCATTACTATTTTTCTTAAAACTTTATTAAATATTTTCACTTGAAAATAAACGTAAAATTTGTGTTGGAAATTACAAATATTTACAGTATAACAAATAACGGACTACATAAAGTTAAAGTGCTAATATTACTGTAGTGTTTTATAATTGATTTGATTTCTTTATCAAGACCATGTTTTGCATTGGCCCCAAAACTTTTTTACCTGTTCATACTTGAATTTTCTTACTAAAATGTTTCACCTTTTTAATTATGTTTGCAGACAAGATGAATAACAGAAAGAAATTTTAAAGAAAACATTTTCATTATTTGAAAAAAAATAACATTGTGCATGCAAAACTGTTTTGGACAAATAAATATATTGTAAGTCTGTGAGCCCTGAACTCTGTAGAAGACCTAATCAATATACTTTCAGTAATATTGCTTATTTCTTTACAACAGGTATGAGATAGGAAACGACCCAGCAGGATGGGTAACTGTGGATCCAAAAAATGGTGTAATTAAAACAATAAAAAAAGTGGATAGAGAATCCTCACATGTGGTGAATAACACATACACAGTACTTATACATGCAGTTGATAAAGGTAATGTGCTACAATACACCTACAATAAATCATTATCATTATCAATATCGTTTTGAAAGCTTTATTCAGCAGTTTAAGATCTCTTTCAAAAGAAAATTAATTTCAATCCACATTGTTACTCCTGGGAAATTTCAGATAAATTACTCTCAGACCAGCAGCAGCGCTGCAAATTGACAAAATGTTATTGATGTTATAATCATACTTTATCCTGGTTTAAACAAACAATCAATGTCAGAAATCAAACCAATGTTGCAGCAATCATCCTTCTGAATTGTTGTACCATTACCATTCTCTAAATTCACAGGAATCCCCCCCATGACAGGCACTGGGACTCTCATTATCCACATACGAGACGAGAACGACAATGTTCCTTTTCTGCGTAAAACCAACATTGACATGTGCTCAGGGGCAGGAGCGACCAACATCACTCCATATGACCTGGATGAAGATCCCTTTTCTGGGCCCTTCCGGTTCCAATTGGTGAATGAGAAGGATCTTGAAGGAAAATGGAGACTAGATCCTACTTACGGTAGAGTCCACAAACTGTGCATTCTACAAAATTCTGCATCATGAAATGTATTTTCAATCCTGTTACATACCACCTCTTTTCACAATTCTACAATAAACACACTATATAAAAAAGCAAAGAATCTCATTAAAGTACATAAACATTTTTTTTACTCAAAGTGCTATAGGTAATGCAATCACCATCTATTTTTAAAAAAGGTATACATGGGTAACTGAGTGCAAACAGAGAATGAATCCATTTTTTCATCACTTGTGTGAGGCAAATTTGACATGAGTTATGTATAGATTTGGATAAATGATGGATAATCTCTTTGAAGTCTGTTATTGATTTAAATGGTAATTTTCATGCCTGTTCTTTGATGCAGGGCACTCTGTCGATCTCATCAAGGAAAGTGATGTTTTCAGTGGCGTGTATGAAGTGTCTTTGAAAATCTTTGACAAGCAGGAGCAGTATTCTATCCAGAACCTCACTGTGACAGTGTGTGACTGTGTCAGTTCAGGACCAGCAAACTGCAGATTCCGGAAATCCCCTGCTACACAGATGGGTGGCAGTGCCATAGGGATCATATTTGCATCCTTATTTCTTCTACTGGGTATGGGAATTTTTACAAGACATTACATTCCATAGTTTATTGCTTATCTTGTTGTGATAGCTCATGTTCTGTTCCTCAAAATGGGTATTTTTAAAACATCTATTGCATATTCTATTAATGATACAAGTCTAACGTACTCAGTCGGCTCCTGAACATATGTTTCTTCTATCTTTAGGTTATTTTTTATATTTATATTTAAAAACAGAGAAATAGAAAATGAATCCACTGTCAAAATGAATACCATACATTTGAGTAAAAGAAATAAAAGTTATTATTTCAGTTGTACTCAGCTGTACAACTTCAGTTGTCAGACAGACATTGAGAGCCATACTAGAAGAATACACAGAAAAAAATGTTCACACAGGAAGGAGAAACATACTTAACATCTCTGGGTGATTCCGAGATTTCAGAAAACAGTAAGTATGAAAAGTATCCCTTTGTTTACACAAATTCTTGTTTTGCCTTCATCAAGATAGTGTGCTGGATCAATAAAATAAGTAAACAATCAGGGAACTATTTCTCACTGAATGGAAACACAAGGAGAACAGAACACAAGTGGAAACTAAAAGGGAATCCATTTATGATCTAAAACTGGAAACACGTTGTTAAAAGAGTTACATGTAACTGGAAAAGTTTCTCACCCAGGTTCTGAGGCCCAAAGTATGTGCTGTTCGTGAAACCGTTTATCCAGATGTTAGACGTACTTTAAGCAACTGAATTACCAACTAAGCAAATTTGGCTCAATAGCATCTTTTCATTTGGAATCATTTTTGTGTTTATCTAATGCAATGCAGTGACCATGATAAGATGAGGCAGATTGCTTCCAATTCAACAGGACAAGGCAGTGGTTTAACAAAGACCCAAAAGAGAGTTTTGAGTTGATCTTTGGAAAAGGCATCTCGTGAGATGCAGTGCCAGGGACAGTAGAGAGATATTAATTACATATTAATAGTTTTGTCTTTTTTGTAATCAATCCATATTCCATGTAGCAAAATGGTGGTTTCCCTGTAACTGAAGAACGAAAACAATTAGTTCTGATAGCCTCTTCTTACCATATTCTTATATTGTAGAAATCTCATGCTGTTGTTTCATCCCATTAACAATCCTGCAGCATCACCATGCTTTTAATGTACATTATCACTCCAGAACTCACATGTTAGCATTATACTAGAATTTGCTGCACCCCTTTCACAGTCAGTCCTCCGTCCTCTTCTCTTAATCCGCACAGAACTCCCACAGGCAGGTTGCTTGAAATACTGAAACATGAGCTACACTATGAAACAAACAAATATCAACTTACAAAGAGACGCTAAATCATCACCACTGGCCTGATTTTCTATTATCAATAAAACAATTCTTTCCCCTTTTTGGATTTCCAGGGTTATTACTTTTGGGTTTTCTAACATGTGGGGTGAAGAAATCATTCATGATCTTAGATGATGATTCAACAAATACTTTCATAAAATCTAACATCGAAACACCAGGGACTGACTGCACGGTAAGCATATTATACCCTAGACCACATTTGAAAAGTAGGTGTCTAGTGCTCTGTGAAAGGCCTTTGAAACCCTCACCTGGAGATAAGGTTTTGTCTAATTTTGTAAATGCCAATTTATGATTGTATTTCTCATTTGTAGAAATTAGGGCAAGACGTCTCCTCTTCAGATTCACTCCTTTCAGATACACAAATGGCTTTAAATTATGTTTTGATTTCACAGATAATTGTTACTTGCATTTCAGTAAATTTTCTGACTACAGAAATGTCAAACACGTCATAGAAGAACTCCATACAGTATATTCCAAGAGGAGTTGCTTACACTTATGTTATATTACAAATATATATTAAATGATAGTTAAATGAAGGTTCAATTTGTGGCATGGTGTGTCCTTTTAACTAATCAACCAGAGGGAATATTCAGTGAAATAAAACCTGAGAATATCTGGATTGTATCTCTCTCCCTTAGCTTGTCTGCCACTTTCATTGGAAGTGATTAACTATAAGTCACAAGTCAGTTTAGCAGGGTCATATTCTCTGACTATGGTGAGGAACTTAAGTGTTGGCTTACCTAGGTTATTAACACATGTAACTTATACAATTTCCATTTTAAATGTTTTGGATATGAGGCTTTTAATGGTACTTGATTAAAATAAACATCAGAAAAATATATACTTTTATCCATTCCCTTTATTGTGAAATAACGTTTCTTCTTTCTTTATTAAGGTTCCAAATACAGCACAGAAATTCCAAATGACTGAAGCAGATGCTACAAATAATCAGCATGTGAAAAACTATTATGGGCAGGCACACAAAAATATTTTTGTTCAGGTACTTATCTGTTTTTCCAGGTGTTTATCCTGTATCAGTTTTCTTTTATCCTTAGGGATCTATTTCAACACATGTCCAAAGATTTTTTGTTCTCATTAGAAATTGACTTTTTTAACATAGATCTAAGGCTTTCTTTGTGTTTATCAAACTATCTGGAAATGTAGTTCATGTGATCCACACAACAGAAGAGTTCCTATGTCAGTATGTGAACACGTTTTATAGAAACACTGTTGATTTGCATGATCTGTTTAATAAGATTAAGAGTACATTTCAAGTCATATGCTATTTTTTAGGTCACGACAATCTCTTTTCTGTTCATGGTGGTAACTTTTTCATTTTTTATTCAGAATGTGAATATTCATAGAAGTCAAAGCAATAGCCAGTTCTCCAAGATAGGGCAACAAGTGCATCATTACAGTCAGATGGTACGTATTTGTATTATGACATTCATACAAATCCCGAGTGCTCAGGGTTGAGGCCTTACTGATAACAGCACTGCAAATAAAATAAACTAAGGATGTAAAAAATTGGTTGTTTCCTGTGGAATCCATTAAATATCTGATGGAAAATTATTTTTTAATTATTTTTAAGCAAAAACAATCCTATAAAACAGTCCTATAAAAGTGTAGCTATGTATCATGTATGCACAGTACCTGTGAAGTTATACGAAGTTACATGTATGTTATAAATATAATGCTACACTGGGATGGCATGGTTGTGCAGTAATTAGCATTGCTACCTCACTGTGCTGGGGCACTGGGTTCAATTCTACATCTGGTGTGTTATCTGCAGGGATTGGCTAGTCTTAAAAGTTTATGATATAGCATTAAATAATCCTTTAATATAATAATAAATAGTCCAGATATCATTTTAGAATATTTCAAAAGGCAATAATACTTTTTTTCTAGAGGCATTATTATATCACTTTTTAAGTAGGTGAAATACTGTACAAACCAAGATTGTCAAACATGACTGAGCACAGCTGGTGCTTTCTGATGTACTGACTTCCCATATTAAATCAGTTTTTTATACCCACAAGGGATCAGAGTGGAGCCAACAAACAGTGTTGACAAAAAGCATAAACATAGAAAGGATGAAAATGAAAGCTAAAATTAATAAGGTAAGTAAGGACTGCACTGACGCATTGGTTCAAAATTCATGCAGATGTTTTACTGACACTGTCATTGCAAATAAAGAAAATAAACTACACAAGAGAAACTTTTTATTTATTTTACTGCATTAAACAAATAGTAAAATTCAATTCAATAAAAAAGTAGGATTGCTTTCCTCCTGTGAAATCAGTTGATTATGTAAAGGACAACTATTTAAGGGAAAACAGCGTATAACTGTTTAACAGTTTAGTAATATATTAGAAATATATTTTTGTTGGGAGTGATGCAAATTAGGGTTGCTAGATAAAGTGTAACTGCAAAACTTTAATTCAGAAAAACTAGATTTCTTTGCAAACTGACATTTATTGATAATTAAAGTTGTAATTTTCATTTGTTTACTTACAGAAAGTACTGTTAATCCAAGGCAATGGCAATGAACTGCATGACTATCCCCCTCACATTTATGCTGATGAAGGAGAACCCATGAGTGACCCAGAACTAGATGCCATTTCCATTGATGAACAGGAGTTTGTGTCTGACCAGCTCAATGACCTGGGCCCAAGATTTATTAATCTTGCTACGATTTGTATGTCCAGCCTAAAAACACTGAGGCAAAATAATTGAAAATGATACTGTCAGGATCGTTATCCCTCCTCTCAAGGGTGCTCCAACCCTTTTGGATTTTCCTTTATTACATGCACCTGCCCCTCATTAAGTCTGTCATTATTTAAGCCTGGGGCTCCTGCTATTCCTGGCTCAGCACTAGGAGATGGACGCCCGGAAGCCCGCCTACCAGTGTGTTCAGGAGAGACCCGACGGCATAGGCTTCATCACGAAATCCTGACCATCTGAGACTGGTGCTCGGAGCATCTGGCCTAGTTATCATGTTTTTTAATTCCCTGTTCCTGTTCCGGATCCAGTTCCGGAGTTTAGTCTCGTCTGTCTCTGATGGTTCTCCCGGTTCCTGGATCCTGGACTGCGCCCGGATTTCCCCCTTGGACTGTTTGGACTTGTTTGCCTGCGCCACGCCCCCCAAGCACTGGAACACTGCCCCCTTGTCTGTCGACCTATCCTGATCCTCTACGTCTTTTCCCTGTCGTCCTTCTCCACTTACTTCCGGATTATACCATCTGCATAGGGTCCTGAACTACGTTTCACGGGAGCCTGGACTGGCTCCTGTTACAGATACCAAGCAGACACGTCCTACAGTGGTTGGAGCTGATCAGAACAGTGTCACATTTTTGAGATGAAGAAAAAGAGAACATCTTTTTTCAGATATTAAATCTCAATATTAAACAGATATTAGTTGAACACTTTACTGCAATTGCTTGAGGTTCCCCTGACATTTATTTTCAAATAACACACTTCCCTTCAAACTGTAATTACTCACTTTTAAGTAATTTTTTAATGGATCATTAAAATCTTAAAAGCTTCAACGTTACATTTTGGACAGTGTTTAAGTACAGGAATACTGTACTTTATGGTGAAATTACAAAAGTATTTCAATTTTGAGTGTCTGCATCTTCTCCCTGTTTTCTTTCAAATTGAGAAGAACTTCAGAGGAGCTCCGATTTCTAGTTCTGAAGCACTTACTGTAGCAGAGTTGTCCTAGAAAAGAAGATGGAAAACACTTCCAAAATAATCAATGGCTTGTCACTTAATCCCTTTTTCAGGATGTGGTTGTGCTCTTTAGTATATACAGATATTTTTGTAAATGCAGATAATGCGGTTCTTATCTATAGATGCATTCTCAGACTTTGTATCCTGTGCAAAATAGAAAGTGATGGACTATTTTGTTTTCTACTATAATGTGAATATTTGTGTTTCTATGCATGTGTTTGCATATATTTAAATTGACTTGAGGGTGGTTTGGTGTTTTGTTATTAATTTTTGTATTGGGTGTTAGGCATGTCATGGCAGATGTTACTTTTTTTTTTTTTGCTCAAGTACAAATATATATTTTTTAATATTCCCCAGAAATTTGCTGTCCAAATCTTCTGTGTAGCATTTTTTAAATTCTGGTAACACATTCATTCTGATAGCACAACTTGGGAATTGTAACTGTATTGAATTTGTATTCACTTTAATTTCTTTTTGTTATTTAAATAAAATAGAAATTAAAAATACTAAAATCTACTATGTGAAATAAAACAAACGAACAAAGTGTGAAACATTTGGCCAAATGCCAAATTAACTTTATAGGGACAGCAATCAACACGTCAGAACAGGGTAGAATTAGTATGTTTTGAACATTTCATATAAACGTGTTAACGATTTGTATTTATTGATTTAGAAACATTGTCAGGTGGGTAGCTGGGATTATCTTTAACAATAGGACACTATTATTTACTGTATATTACTATATTTTTAATATTAGAAAACATTACTCTATTTCATTCATTATTATAATTCCTTTAAACTATTTTTTTTATTTTAAACATAATTTTATGAATCCAAACAATTTAAGAACTGAGTTTGAAAAGTAAATAATAATTGCTTACACTTATATAGCTCTTTTCTGGACACACCACTCAAAGCACTTTACAAGTAATGGGGATCCCCTTCACCACCACCAATGTGCAGCCCCACCTGGGTGATGTGACGGTAGCCATAGTGCGCCAGTATACTCACCACACATCAAATATTAGTGGGGAGGAGAACAGAGAGATGAAGCCAATTCAAAGATAGGGGTTTATTAGGAGGCCATGATTGGTGAGGGCCAATGGGAAATTTGACCAGGATGCTGGGGTTACACCCCAACTCTTTCGAAAAATGGCCTGATATTTTTAATGACCCCAGAGGGTCAGGATCTCGGTTTTACATCTCATCCAAAGGACAGCGCCCGTTTACAGTATAGTGTCCCCGTCACTATACTGGGGCATTAGGACCCTCGCAGACTGCAGGGTGAGCATCCCCTGCTGGCCCCACTAGCACCTTTTCCAGCATCAACCTTAGTTTTTCCCAGGAAGTACTCATCCATTCACATCCATGTACTAACCAGGCTCACACCATCTTTTCCAAAGCGTACAGTAGGAGGTCTACTGTTATTTAAAATCAATCTGAGAGGATAATCTGTGTACAGAACAAAAACAATTCAGATCAAAACTTGTGTCTATAGTGTCCTTGTTCCTACTGTACCTCCAGAGAAACTGCAATGTGCCACTTGACCAGGAGGAGGTCACACTGCTGTATTGATTTTACAATAAGACTGTAACAATCTGTAACAATGAGTCAGATCTTGTTATTTTGATCACATACAGTATAAACCAATTATACAAGATTCACAATAATGCAACTAATTTTGACCTTTTTCATAATCCTGAATGTATAGAAATAGAACCGACAAGTTCAAGAGACAGTATAAGGTGAAGCCGGTATTCTTGACAATTGTTAGGTAAGTATCAGTTTCATTGACACTGATTTTGTTTATATTATTCAGCAAAGCATTTAGACACCTTGCAGATAATTTCGTGAATATGGCGCTATGAAAAAGAAAAGCAATTTCAAAGTCTTTCCTCTCTACCAAATTTATTTTAGTTTATCTTTTCTTTCATATTTTGTCATCAGGATTTGCATCCTAGAGCTCCAAAGCAAATTTAATTGTCCTTAAAATATTTAGATCACAATTTTATATCCTGTACAGAATATAAAAGAATGTATAGCAAATTGCCAATCTTGCAAACAAAAAATGTTTTACTTTATTGTACCTTTTTATAAACTCTACTGAGAGAATTGATAAGAATAAATTCTCTATTATCAGGTATTTTAAAGGAAATATAAGGCTAATAATATATAATACAATGAATAGCATCTGTTTCTTTTCATGGTTAAATGGCCAGATCCAGTATGTCCCCTCAGGCATGACTTAAGATCCAGCCTTAATGCTATTTTATAGCAGTGCAAGTATATACATCAAAGCCTCTAATTTCAGTCTAATTTCATGAATAAATATTTTCTGACACACTCTAAATGATTGCATTGCTTAAATAATGAGAGCTTGTAATGATTAGGCCATTACACATTTTCATTATTATGTCTTTGTCAATAAGATTAAATGAATGACAGGGTTCTACAAATATTTTATATTATATTTTATAAAAGTTCTCTCCAATGGTTAATCTTTTTCCACGAAATGTTGATACAGTCAAAGTTTAGTATACAGAAACAAAGCCAGTTAGGGATGGTCAAACTGTCTTCTTTATCAATGTTTCTTCACATTGGAATTTATTTTGTAGAAAAGCAATTAAATACAGAGCATGAGGAATTTAGACCAAAGCTATGTGAAATGTCTATACATGTGAGACTACTTTTATTGCTTTTTCTTGTAAAACAGGAACAGGTTAGCTACGACTGTTCCTTTGTAATCCGTGTGCAGTTTATGATAAGCCCAACAGTCATGCCACAGGCTAAGAAGATTAGTAGCCTTCTTTCAGGTTTTTGCTGCTTCATTATTAAATGTCAAATGTCAGGAATGTAATCTTACCCTCATAAGATATTATCACTAAATCCTAAATAAAACCTTATTTCTTGTTAATCTTCCTGCTGGTAGTTCTCATTTATTTGTTTTATATTAAAATCACTAAATACTATACAACTACCAATTATTCTGTTTTTACAAGGTTAAATGTCACCATTAATACTATGTGATGTAGGAATTAATTATAATGTAGCTACGCAAAGAATATTTTACAAGTAAACTGCCCTGTGTTGAAGTAAAAGAAGTGAATTCATTTATGTATAAATCCTTTAATAATTAACTGTTAAAGTCTCAGAAGTGATTAAACAGTTGAGATGCAGATTTGAATTTAACCTGCTTTCCTAAAATATTAATAGGTTTTGCACAAGGAGACCAGTGGAAGTCTGGAACCTCGAGGCTCAGGGATGGGACCAGTGGAAGTCTGGAACCTCGAGGCTCAGGGATGAGACCAGTGGAAGTCTGGAACCTTGAGGCTCAGGGACAAAGCCTGTGGAACTCTGGAACCTCGAGGCTCAGTGACGAGACCAGTGGAAGTCTGGAACCCCGAGGCTCAGGGATGAGACCAGTGGAAGTCTGGAACCTTGAGGCTCAGGGACAAAGCCTGTGGAACTCTGGAACCTCGAGGTTCAGGGACGAGACCAGTGGAAGTCTGGAACCCCGAGGCTCAGGGTCGAGACCAGTGGAAGTCTGGAACCTTGAGGCCCAGGGACAAAGCCTGTGGAACTCTGGAACCTCAAAGCTCAGGGATGACGCCACTAGATTGCTGGAAGAAAGTCCCTCAAAACCATGTACAGAACATACAGTATATTGTTCTTTGGGGATTCTCCATGACTTCCAGACCAGTCTTTTATTTCACTACATTCTTTAAAGCACTAGAGAGACCTGATTCAAATGATTCCAGTATTCCTCCAAGTCTATCAGATCTTTTTAAATACTGAGACACCTATGTTACAACTAAGGTTTGTATTTCTCATCCCAAACAACTTCAGCTACACAATGCTGTTAGCCAAGCCATCCCAGAACTGCTTTTTATAAAGGAAGGCCTTCTTTTCTCACTGCTGTATTGCATTATGTCTGATTGAGCCTACTGGGATAAACTGGAATAAGCCTACTGTTTGAAACCCTCCTGAGAATGCAGGTATTTGACCTTCTTTAGTAGTCAGGTGTTCATCTCCTGTCCCAGTATTACAACAGAAAACCTGACTCTCTTCACCTCTACCACTGAGGGCAGCTGCACCCTGGGTTTTAGTTATTCTGAAGCTGATCGCTCCACATAAAAAAACAACAGACCTTGGGGTTAATCATTTCAGTGCACTAGCAAAATCAGAAAGGAATTATCAGATTATTTTTACCAATCAGGTAATAACATATTCCATGTTAAATGCATATATTTGTATTTTTTATTTATTTTTTTAAATTCGTATTGTAAAGTGCACCCAAAACAGATATGTCAAAAAAGTTCTATTAGGACCAGTGATACAACTGTATACCTTTACCACTTAAAAAGAAAATATTGTTTTTGCTTTTTTTAAATATTAAATGTTGCTAATCTAATACATGTTCTAGTTTCAAGAATCTCAGTGTCATCGCCAATAACAAACATTTGCCTTAGAGACTGTACAGTGATTTATTTTGAGAAAAACCTGCCTAGTGCTCTGCAGCCTCAAGGCCACTCAATCTGCTGGATACTGCTCAAGGTGAGTATAAACACTGGACTGACAGGTGGGGCTATTGACTCTCTAGCTCATTCAAAACTACAAAACAACATCAAACAATAGAAAGAAATCATAACTACTTCTGGCATTTAACCAAGTGAGTTTTTTTTTTCCTTGCATGTCTGTGGAGCACCTACTTCCGTGTGCTGCAACTGTGCTCACATGGTAGTATATACAGTACAATATTTGACTGCACTGCCTGTGGCAATTCCTGGTTTAGATTACATCAGAGGGTCATTTTCTGGGACCCACCTTCTTACTCTTAAATAGTCAAGCCCTTGACAGCTGCTGTGCTTGTTACAAGGGAATGAGAACATCAAAACCTTTAGCTTTTTCTTTTGGATTACCCGTGAACCATGTCTGGTTTCAATATGAAGGCTGCCCTCACAGTTCTTCTGTTAGCTGCAATAGTAAGTATATTTATGGCTCTTTTTGCTTGTCTGCCACTCCCACTGGTTGTAAAAGCTTTAGTGTGTCTCAAAAGTGATAACATTTCTAAAAAAATAAACATAAAATTAAGTGAAACTTATTACTTCATGCTAGAAGGATGTTGTGTAGTATTTGTGTCTGGAGCACAGTGACAAGGTCTGGCTGTCATTTTACAAAAGGGATTGCGAAGTTTTAACTATTCATTCCAGGGCTTAAGAAAGTGTATTATGAGAACAGGCTGAAGCAACTTAATCTTTTTATTCTCAAGAAAAAAAATCAAAGGACAAAGGATTCCACATTTTGCAGTGAACCAATAAGGTTAATCCCAGTAACATTTTAAATTTTAAGTTTACACACTAAATTTGAGGCTTAGTGTGGTGAACAGAGCTTCTGGGACATGACTGCAGAAATTCAAAGCCATAGTAATGGAATAGTTTCCCACAGAAACTCTGTGCAGACAAACACACTGAGAGCCATCATGTCAAACTTGACTCTGTAATAGAATCTCTTAGCCTACAGTAAAACCTATAGCTCTGATGGGTTGAAAGGCCTTTTCAAAGGGATATGTGTCACCTTTTCAATTCTTAAGTAACTCTTCTGCTTTCTCGGGTGAGACGTGTGTGGGTGTGATCCTGAAAACAAACAGGTAAATAATACCTCAACACAGGAGCTGAGAGTCAGAGAGGTCAGGGTAAAAATACTGTGTTACTGTATGTGGCAACCCTAACTGTTCCTGTCGTTGGCTTTTCTTGTGTTCTTATGTACATGAATTTCTTTATATTTCCAAATTTAGAAATGTAATGATATGTAAAATAGTCATTTCGCAGTTAGCAATCAATGGCCTTTCTCGCTTTGTATCCAAGGGATTGATTAACTAAACTTTTTGCACACTGAAGCAATTAAATTAATGTTATTTTTATATAGCACCTTTCACAACAAGGTTGATCCAAGGCATAAATGTCAAACGGCATATGATGTAGATGAGAAATATGACTGAAAAAGGAGGGGTTGTGCTTGGGGGTGGTGGTGGTGAGGAGACTCAGATAGTCCAAAACTTCAGATCAGAAAGTTCGTGTTTTTATACCCAATAATACATCAGTGTGAATTCTAATAATTCACCCTTGTTTGCTTATTGCTTTTTACAAAATTTCTGCTATGCAATTTACAGGCCATTCTTTCATGTGAAATTCGAAATATTTTTTCACTTTAGAAAATAAAAATGCAGAACGAAAAAAGGATATGATAGAACAATATAACAGAAAAAAATGTTTCATAGTAGTTTCAAGTAGATTATTTTATCAAGAAAGTTTGTTATACTGCTCAAATAAAATGCAAAAAAAACTGTCACAAAGCTAAAAAATGTACTCACACAATTGCAGATTATGTGAAGCCAAAACTTGCATCTGAAACATATCAAGTTCTAACGTGCAGATTGAATAACATATCTCTTCACCTTCCCTAAGGCAAATAATACAATTTTATATTTTTCTACATATTTAACTGACAAAGGCAGACTATAAATCGTTCATAACGTGTTTATTGCATGGTTTTTGCATACTACCACTCTATTGCATTTAGGTCTTGTGAGAGAATAAAAGATTCTTGGATTAGTGCCATTAATCATTAAAGGTTGCTGCTCAGCTTTTAGGCATAGAATAAATATTGCTCAGCCTGCTTCTGAGATAGAGAAGAGCTAAAGGGACTTATTATGACTCAGAGAAACAGAATGTAGGAGTTAAAAAACACAGAGAATAGAAATAAAATTAATGCATTACAGACCTACAGAATTAATGTGCTATATGCAATTTTACTGCAGGTGTTGTTCCCTCTTAACTAATTTGAATAACAAAGAAATAACAAGAAATGCTGCTTTAGAGTTCTTGTTTTAAGAATCATAAAAGCAGTTTATTTTTTCCATTATCATTTTATAACAACACCATTTGTAATATTTGTAACGACAGAGTCAGGGTAATGAATTCACGCAAAGATGAAGAGATGTAGCACTGCGTTGAATACAAATCTGTATACAAGTTTAAAATTTTGAAATCAAAATTGTTTTGTCTAGAATGTTTCAACCATTGAATTAGAATTATGATCATATAATGTGTAAAAACAGAACCTTTAATATAGAGCAATTAGTTATGCTTTCATTGGAAAGTTAATATCGCTCAAAATGCTCACAAAGTTCACAAATATAATTTTCACGGTTATGAGAAGTGTATATCTTCAGCAGTGAATAATGTGTAATTTTTATGTTGTTACAGCTTTTGGCCAGTTGTAGCATCAGCAGTCAAGATTAATTAATTAAGGTTATTAAGGTTGTGAAATTTGCTGTTTATACAGAAAAACTAGCTTAGTGATTTAGACCATTATGAAATGCTATGCAAAAGTCTTAAACGTCTTAGATATAATCAGGAGTTACACTATATTAAAATATTATATATGTTATAATTTACTCAAAGCCATGCGCTAGTGCTTTCAACTGTTAAAACTACCTTTATACAGCTAAGATAAAAGATATAATCCAACTTGGCAATCTTTAATACACATTGATCACAAATGCATTTAACTTCACCTGAAAATTTTCTTTACTTATCTGACCTTTTTTAACTGTAATATAGCATTAAGAATATTATCATGTACAAGAACACAGAGGTTAAGACTTAAGTACACTAAATCCTATTCTAAATCACTGTCGGGCTCTGTAAAACCTTTTAACTCTTAAACGGAAATGTGTCAGACTATGAAGACCGTATACGATCCCCTATTACTGGCTTCATCATAAAGATGTTGAGTTTTATTTTCACTGCTCTGCACACATTCTAAAAGCTTAAAAGGGATTTTTTTAAATGTATTTCTGTTTTTTATACTATAACTAGGGTGTGACCCTCTGGCTTGAGAAAAGCCAGACACCTTAAGACAAGAGGAAGATTCTGAAGTTGCGTCAAAACCAAAAGCATAAATAGCTAAATCCTTATTACATCAATTGCAAATTACCTGAAAACATCCTGAGAATAAAAGTCAGCTACTGAACAAGATATAGAAAATATGTTTTGTACTGTAGTCTCAGTTTTGTTTTGTTTTATTCTAATTCCTATCAGCTGATAGGTTTGAATGTTATTATGAAAAATACAGCATGTTTTTATGTAATCCTTCCTTCCTTTTTCTATTCACTTTGTCTTTAAGGCTCTCTGTACATACAGTATGCAGTATATGAATTCTTACAGTATATTGTATATACGGTATATATATATATAAATAAACTTAACAATTGTTGTTCAGAACAACAAAGTGCATGATATTGGACCAAACATCTTGTTTGACCAAACTTCCACATGACACTGTATTTTTGATTACTATTTGATAGTCTAATAGTAGGCTCTGAATATTTGTAATCTACAACCTACGGATGGCCGGTGGAGATTTATAAAGAATCATTACATTTTCAAAACAATTTAAAATTTTCAAGAAGGTGTTAAAACCTTTTACATTAAAAATTAGTTACAATATTAACAGACTGACTGAACCATATTAGCTCAACATGGTTAACAAACATTTGTTTAACTTTTGCATTCGTTTTTTGTTGTGGGATTACATCTCGATATTTTCATATAATTTATATCTACAGCCATTATTATATACAGTGTCACTAGTATTAGTATATATGTACATTTATTAAAATAACAGGTTAATATTCATTCCATGCTGAAAGCTAAAAAAAGAAAAACATTTTGTCTGTATAGACTTTTTCAGTTGTGAAGAAGACTCCACAGCAGAAACTGTATTTTCTTTACCTTTTAGGATGGAATGAACAATTACCTGCTCCTTTGCAGCCTATGTATTTTGATGCAGCTGATTACTCAAACTTATATTATACTCTACATAACTACAACATAACTAATAACAATCCAATGATATGCATTATATACACAACTATGGTATATACACTGCTGTGCCCTTTATTTAAATATGACTGTTTTTAACATTTAAAGTATTTGTTAACCCTCTTACAATCAGATATGCATGTTGGCTATAATGGCTATGATACATATACAGTCAGCTAAATAAAGAATCAGTCATTTCTATTACTGGCGGATTCACAAGATTTAGCCATACCCTCACATGCTTTCATTAGTGATTCCCTGAAGCAACAAGAAAATTATTCCATGATTACAAATGACAAATCTGTGTTCTTAAGACACTTCCTCTGAACTACATAAAGGCTTCCAAGTTTTAATCCTCATTACCTGAAATACAGGATTAAAGGATTAAAAGCAACCTATCATTATCTTAGTCAAAGGGGACTACTGTATAATGAAAAGCTTGTTGCAATGTCATTTTTAGCTTTGTGCACTGAGAAGCCTTTTAAATGTGAACATATTGCTTTACTAAAGTGCACTGTATTGAAGGAAACTTTTAACCATGACATACAAAATAATGGAAAATGATTTGTTATTTCTGTACAGTGGAACAAATCAAATCTGATGCCCAAGTATTTAGATGCATTTTCATTCATGCTTTCCAGTTTCAACAGAAAACAATATAAATATAAAGCTGTATGAGCTAAATAAAGGCTTCCAGTAAATTATATATACAAGTTTTAATTGCTTGCTAGGACTTTGAGACATAATGGACAGGTGTACATTGCTTGAACATTTGGTATCACTGCTGTTTTTGTTATTTATAATAATAATAATAATTGCTTACACTTATATAGCGCTTTTCTGGACACTCCACTCAAAGCGCTTTACAGGTAATGGGGTCTCCCCTCCACCACCACCAATTTAGTATAACTTTAATCCTGATGTTGTGTTACACTAATTATTGTCCCTTTCATTTTTTTTAAATGTAAATGGTTGTCTTTTTTCCTAAATGTTACCATTCCCCATGACAGTATTTTTTAACAAATTTCAATAAATGCACAACACATGTTTTGAATATATTTTAAGTTGTTGCAAGCCTATAACAAATTATGTTCATGTCTACAGCATATAGTACTTATTAGATACCGGTACTGGTTTCTGTTTGCTTTGACTGTAGAATCTTTTAATCTTTTTTCTCCACCCCTGTAGGATGCCACTGATTCAAAAAACATTCATAGTCGTCAGAAACGAGCCTGGATCATTGATTCATTTTCCATTGAGGAGGAAAATCCAGGTCCTTTTCCATATACTCTGGGGACTGTAAGTACATAGCATGTGAAAAAGACAACTGAAACTATATATAAGGTGATAACCTTTTCAGGAACAGCCTTTATCAAACAGCCATCTAGCTAATGGCAAATTACTAACTTATATAAAATAAAATAAGAAGCCATCAACCATGTACAGTCTCTCAAATGATTCTATGTGTAGATCAAACGATTATGTCAAAAAGAGTACATTTGATTTATTGCCATATTCCCTCATGTCTGCCACAGGTCATACTGACACCAAATAAATAAATTAAATGTAATCACTACCTGTGCAAAACAATTGATTTTCATTTTGCACTTTAATTTTTTTCTGTACTTAAACTAAATCACATGAAAATCATCTTTCTAATTTTATTTCATAATGTTGTGTGCAGCAAAGATATACTGTAAATGTCAGATATTAAATAAGATATTAAAATTAAAGGTATTTTATTATACCAATTGTCTGGAATACATTCAATGTTATCAATTTAATTGAAATTCCCCTGTGACCTACTAATTCACAGTCACTGACTTTAAGTTTTCATGTAACCTTTTAGAAGTGTAAGTGCTTTTTATACTTACGGTATACGCTAGTATACTACTGAAGAACTACTGTACAGTTCTTATCAATAATCACCTTACGAAATCTGGAGACTCATAATTAGCATATTCATTATTTTTCCTCTAAATGAGTTTTATTTACTTTTACTCATTGTTACCCTGCTTTGTAGATTCAACTGGACCGTACATATCTCGTAACATTTGATTTGCTTGGCAGTGGGGTCAATGAAGACCCAAAGGGAATCCTTCGAATTAATCAACACACTGGTGTCATTACTGTGTTGGGACCTGTAGATTATGAGCAATACGATAAACTGAAGGTGAGCAAATAATAATTATTCATAGACTATAAAAATAAGTGCATTACTTAATCAACTGTCTAGATCTAAAAAAGTATGAACCATTACGTTTCCAAAGTACTGTTCTATCATCAGCTCAGGACCCTGGTCTCCAGATATCAGCAGGTTTTTAAATTGAAAACATTTGTAAAAGTGTTCCTAGTCCCTATAAAATGCACTATGAACCGTTATCTTTTGTTATTTTTCCAACGCAGAGTATCACATCATTAGCACTTTAATTTAGTCTCTTGATTGCTTCAAGTGCAAAATTACACATTAAACTGAGATTTTGATGCTGAACTGATGCTGAAACTGGATTTGATATGTTTTCATTCTTCTCACATCTGCATAGCTAACATTTCAGGCTCAAAATGTTACCAATGGTGCTGTGGATACCCGGCTTGGCGTTGAGATCTCAATTTTGGACATAAATGACCACCCACCAACTTTTCAACAGGAACATTATGAAATTACTATTAAAGAATCTATGGCTCAAGGTAATGATTCCTTATAGTGATATACTATTCAGTTTATATTATATACATTCTATATAATGCATATAAAATGTTTTTTAAGTACATGTTTTTAACAGGAAATAAAATCATTACACAATGTCTATGGTACTACTGTATTAAAAAAATATTTGAAATTTTAAAGGTGATATAAATACAGAACGGGACAATCAAAACATTTTGCAACTGAGGCACAGAAACAAGATAACAGCAATTTGTCCTAGAATTCTACTGACCTCTTGTATATACAGATGCAACCATTCAAAATGCACGGTAAAACTCTGTACCGCGCGAAATTATCTGCAGATTAGCTCATTATACCACAGTACGTGATTGGCTGGCTAAAATGACCGACAGGCGGCACTCGTGGTGCATTGGTTACTAGTGAAACGATTGCTTCATTTAATCTCTTTACTGTGCATATTAAATTCGCTCAATATTATGTAGCCCAGCAAACAACACATAGTACTCGTTATCGCATACTTTTTAGAATTTGATTAATAGGGAATATAATATGGAATCACGTATCTAGAAATTAATAATGATATAATTATATTCATATAGCTCAAATTATTACCATAGTCCACTTTATTTGTGAACATCTGCATCTATTTGACTCATAGTATAAACTTTGCAGATCAGACTTCCAATGTTGTGCATGTCAGAGCTGTACGATGAATGATTCAGGCGCACAAACACACTGTGACAAATGGCTGCCTGAGTGAACCGGCGAAGCACCAGAGCAGTGTGTCAACATTCCTCATTTTGCATTCCTCATTTTGCAGATACCTTTGCACAGCAAGGTTAGCTAGTCTGGAGTGGGTTACTACAGTCCTGCAGTTCTCCATGATATGTAATTGTTTCACTACAGCCCCCTCTAAATCCTAGAAGATATTTTTACATACTCTTGTAACCTGAGTTCTTAAAATGCATTAATTCACAAACAAAGTGATTCATTAATTTCTCATCACCACTGTCCAGAAAAACTACTCTAGATCACAGTTGATGACCCAATGTTGCTTTGATGATGAAACCTCATTGTGGCTTCCATGTCAGAGACTGATTCTAGACGGATTGTGCATCTGGGTCATGTTTGAAATGTTTAAATTACCCATCAAATCACTGGGAAATAATAAGTGGCACCTTACTCTAATACTCATTGTACAAGAAATCCATGAACATTTTACATCATTTCTCTCACAGCACACACTTCCTTACACAAACAACAAAGACCACATGTCCTGTACCTTAAAGGTCTATCTTTCAAAGAATGGGATAGCAGTAGTAGCCATCCACTAACATCCGTATGAACATGAAATTAAACATGAATTATATGTAGTTTTTTAGTATAGCATATGAGTCACATGAAAGGCACATTCCAAGAGTCTTGAGGTCTGATATTTTTGTGAACATTTATTTTAAATCCATAAAACCAAAGCAAAGAGTTGCGACATGGTCATGGTCAAAATGATTAAATTTAACCACTATTTTGCAACCAGTAGGGGGGTTTAGTGCTTTACTTTACTGCACATGTTTCTGATCACAATATTTTTAGTAATCACACCTGTAGTCTGGAAATTCAGGTCCAAGTCTGTAGCTGTTTGCTCTTGTTCTTCACTCTCCTGCCAAGCTACATATATAAAATATTAATATAATATATAAAATAGCACCTTTATTCATTGGGATAATTTTGCTTTCCTATATATTTTTTTTATTAAAAGGGAGCACTCTGATTGTTCTATCAGCCAGAGATGATGATAAGCCAAACACCAAAAATTCAACTTTCTCCTATAGAATTGCTTCAGTTATTCCCAAAGAAACAGATGCAGAATTCTACATTGATACTCATGGCAAGATTTCCTTCAAAGGATGCTTGGACTATGAGGTAAATGATCTACTACAATTACTTACAATTTTACTTATTTTTGTGTAATTTGTGTCACTTTTGAATTTTGGGCTAGTGTTATTATGAATGTTTTAATTTAACTTGTTTTAGTAAAGTGATCCGTTATTTTCCTTGTACTTAAACTTAATGTGCATTTTATGTAGGTTATGATGTTATTAGGATAAGAATAATGTGCATATTCCATTGTTTGATAATTTTATTAAATATGTTCTTAAAAACACATGTACTTGTTATCTTTTTGAAATTACATGTAAATTTTCCCACTTTCACAAATGCAGCTTATTTTTTCAATGAACGCCATGCAAACAAGAAAAGTGGGATTCTTGTGTAGATCTTCTGTAGAAGAGCAGAGAATAAGTAATGATCAACTACAGTTTGAAATTGACAATTGAATTATAAACTGGACACCAGTATCATTGTATGCACTATCTATTTTAATTTTACAGTTAGAAATAATATATATGTGATTTTCCTTTCTGTCAATTCACACGTCTTCATGCACACAGTCTGTTAGCAAGAAATCTATAATGCAGTTAAGTTGTTCAGACCATCTGTGGAAACTGTTTGAAAAAAAAGAGAATACACTGATGGTATAAATTCCACCTAGTTTACACATTAAGTTTATGGTAATTTTATGGTCTCATTCATCATGAACTGCTCTATATTTTGTTTCAGAAAGCCCACCAATACACCATCATTGTTGAAGCAAAAGACCAAGGCGAAAAAGTGCGTCTCTCAAGCTCTGCAACGGTTGTTTTAAATCTGGAAGATGATAACAACAATCTCCCAGTCCTTCTTAATCAAAAAGTGAGTGGTCTGCTCTAAGCTATAAAGTTACGTGTTAAAATAATTATTCCAAATTTAGATTACACAAGGGTGGCCTGGTAACACAATGGTTAGCTTTCCTGAGGTTTTCCTCCAGGTGCTCTTGTGTCCTCCCGTAATCTAAAGACATACAGGTAAGTTAATTGGCTTCTGGGAAAACTGGCCATAGCAAGAGTGTGTGTCTGTATGCGTGTGCTGGTGTCCCATCCAGGGTGTATCCTGCCTTGTGCCCTTAAGGTTTACCCTGTTGGATAAAGTGCTATGAAAATGGATGGATGTCCACTACTGTGGCACTTACTATCAAGCTAATTGTACATACAGGTCATACAAATCGTATAATGTATATTAGAAAATGGATGGACAGATGGATGATTATACAAATTTAGGTTGCCTGGTAGTGTTAGTAATCAGACCCTACTATGGCAAGACAGGACAGGAACACTCAGACAGAGGTAGAGTGAAAAAAAGCAAATCCAACCACATGAAGAAGGTCCATTTGTAACAGAAGAACCTATAGAGCTTGCAGTGCAGTATGCTTTACCATGGTAAAATTATTTATTATCAGTTTCAACTTGCATGACCACTTTGTGCAGCAAACACAGGGAATCCTGGTCCTGGACTATTTTCTCCAATAAAGCAAGGCTTAATGTCAGCTGTGTTGATAGCTAATTCCTTTATCCTAAAATTATAATTAAGTAAAAGCTATCATATTCTGAAAATTAGCATAAATGGGTAACTTTACCAGTTTTGCCTTATTAGTAGACCTTTCAACTTTTAAAAATCAGGATGTAAAATTCATAATTCTATTCATCGCAAATCAGACCTGTAGCATTCATGTGTACCCTTCCCACTCCACAAAAGGAAGATATAACAATTAGAGTATTTTCTCTTCTAAGGTAAAACAATGTTTAAGAAAAGAGATTTCAGATATATATACCGTGTTTAGATTTAGTAGTGCAACTGTGGGCTCATGTTTTACACACTTGTTGTTTTGTGTTTTAGGCTTCTGGTAAAGTGAAGGAGAGAGATGAAGGAGTGACAGTTCTCAGAATACAGGTAAATGACAAAGACACAAAGCCCACTCCTGCCTGGAAAGCAAAATACAGCATCGAAGGGGACAAAGATGGAAATTTTCAGATATTAACTGACCCAGAGACTAATGATGGAATCTTGACTGTTGTGAAGGTAAGACTGGATCTTTCTTTAATAACAACATTATTTTTCTATCATAAATTCTATTATATAAATAAACTTAAAAAATAATAATTCCAGTAGGATACACATTATATAAGGTTTAAGCTCAGAAGCTTCCTCTCTTACTACAGTTGTTTGTGTACTAAACTTAAACCAGATTCAAATCCATTTATTGTACATGGTGCACTCTAATTACCACAGCTTTAAATTTTTTTTATTAAAAAAGGAAACACGTTTCGACTGTGGAGCGTTCACCTGAAGAAGTCTCCACAGCCGAAATGTTGTGTTTCCTTTCTTTTCTTTTCAGCATGGAATAAACTTGTTACTTGTTCCTTTGCAGCCTACGCGTGCTCACGCTTGTATATTCCATGTAGCAATGGGTACATTTCTGACATTTTCATTGGTTATAACGATATCACTAACATAGTTATGAGAGTTTTTGACATTTCCAATGCATTATTCCCTTTCGTTTCCAATTACAAATCTTATTTTAGGTTAGATTTTATACAAATACAATGTTCTTTTCCTGCTAGCTGTTCTTTTTATGGCATATTGCCATATGTCATAATCATATAATCTTTAATTAGCCTCCAAGCTGTCCTTTGTGTATTGCTGGAGAAACTGATGAGACCTTTTCTTATTAATCCATTCATCCACTTTGGAGAGATCATAAATAGATTATTTTATTTTTTGTATTACTGACCCAGGATAAGAATTGGACACCCCTAATGTAGATAGCTAAATGTAGATACCTAAAGGTGTTAAAACCATGCCTTGGCACCATTCAAACAAGTAGTGGATTTTTTTTTTACAAAACTGCAAGAAAGCAAGAAAGCATCCTGTGTGAGAGGTTGCCTACCATGCACCTTTGGGTGAAAAACAAAACATTTGAAAGAAAAACACCTCTTTTTCCACCAGCAGCTGACAAACAACGATAACTTTAAATTGCTGACCCCAGATTACAGCTGAGTAGCTCAACATTTGAGACACATAATAAGAACTACAGAACTCAGTGCAATGTTAGAATGGACAAGACAAAGAAAATTGATGATCCTCAGTTTTTCAGACTGTCATCTGTGTGTTCAGGCTAACTGAAAGATGCATAAACAGGTTGACACTGAGGCTTAACTGATTATTTTCTGGAGTTACACTACGTGAACAATCAGTCATAAGAGGCTTTTATCGGCAGTGCATTGCAGAGACATGCAAGGCTCAGAATCCAAGGACAACACTAGTAAACAAATGGATGACAGTTAACCTACTGTGTTAAATACCTTCATCCCTAGATTGTAGGTTTTCCAATAAATCAAATAAAAAGTAGTAGATTTTCCAAAAAATCTAAAACCAGTCAGCCTCTCAAGCAGTGCATCAGTAAAGCTCATATTAAAATTGGAGGTCTTTTGTATAATCTCCTTCTGGGATACCCCTGGATTTTCCACATACTCTAAATTTAAGCAAAATTATTTTGAAACACTTCAATGTCCTCTACCTCTTTTTTTTTGTATCACAGTCTCTGGACTATGAAAGCGGTAATCGACGGAACTTGTCGATCACAGTGAGGAATGAAGCGGATTACTTTTCATGTATTGTAAAGAAACGTAACCCTACAACACTGTGGGATGTGGACGTGAAACATTATGATTCCAGTAAAGGACAACTACCACCACTAATAAAGCAGACAGTGGATGTCATCGTAGAAGATGTCAATGACCCCCCGGAATTCACAACTAAAATTAAAGATGTTTATGTGGTGGAAAACACCGAAATTGGACATGTATTGGAGACATTCACAGCAGTCGACCAAGACGATAGCTTATCCAGTGAATTCGTGTATGTTCTAATGTATCATACTACTTGCGAATTTTTAAGGTTTTATATTTATTAGGTCCTTGTTTAAAAAAAACTATTTAATAATGTAATGTCTACATTACCTGACACTTGCACACAATCTATTATTAACTCAATTCAATAATGTCTGTGTACAAATGTACAGGTGTAAATTACTGTAAATCAAAGTGATATTTGTAATTACATTTTGTTGAAGGAAAACATTTTTGTGAAGTTCAGTTTTAGGGGATATTTTTTAAAGTTTCAAATTAAATATTATCTGCTGTATGTTAAACTATTTTTGATTTTAAACATCATTGTACTGAAGAAAGGCCTACTGACATTTTTGTGTACCTTGCTGTCTTTAGAAGAACTTATTTATCTTCCTTCACTAATATGGACTTCTTCTATTTAACAGGTATGAGATAGGAAACGACCCAGCGGGATGGGTAACTGTGGACCCAAAAACTGGTGTAGTTAAAACAATAAATAAGGTGGACAGAGAATCTCCATACGTTGTGAATAATACATACACAATAGTTATACACGCAATTGATAAAGGTAATATTAAGTTGATTGAATTAACATACTAGAGAGAAAAGTTTTCAATATTAACTAGTTTACGTTTTGAGAAATTATAGACCTATATAGATTATAGAGAGATTACAGACGTAGGCATAGGAAAAAAGTAGTTCAGAAAGAAATCCTCTTTAAAGAGGGAAACTAAAATGTAGGTGCAAGATGTCAGTCAGAGTAGTTGGTAGGTGAGCAGCTGGCAGTGCAAAGTAATGGTTAGGGCCTCCCATCTGGAGGTGTGTGAGTTCAGATCGTACTGCTATTGTACTCTTGTGATGTACAGTAATTCCACTCAAATTATTCCACTCTTGTTGTACACATGCTTTCAAGGTTGTCCCTGTAAATTAGAAATCGCTTTCAGTTGATGTATGAAGTACTGAAATCTCCCTCTTCTTACATACACAGGAAATCCCCCCATGACAGGCACTGGGACTCTCAAAATCCACTTATCAGATGTGAATGACAATACCCCCACTGTGGCAAATACCACTATCGACATGTGTTTGGAGGGTGGACCTTCAAATACCACTATTACTGCTATAGATATGGATGCAGATCCCTATTCTGGGCCCTTCCGCTTTCAGCTAATCAATGAGAAAGAAATGAAAGGAAAATGGAGACTGGAACCTTCTTATGGTAAAACCCCAAAACTTAAAAAAGTTTTCTTAATTTAGGTGTTGTACTACTGTACATCTCTTCATTATATACTGTACCTTACAGACCACAATCAAGCAAAAATAATGCCATTGTGTATAGTTTGTATGGTTTCCAAAACCTTTTTTTTAGATTACGAAGATCCCTTATCTTATTTAAAAGGAAATCATAAGTGAGTAATTTTGTTCTGATTTCTTAGAACCATTAGGTATTGATGACCTTAACATATAACGGGCTTTGTTTAAAGAGACAAAAATGTTGAAGAGGAACATTTCACCACTGTCTTCCTATTGATCTTAATATTAACATGCATCTAATTTTATTTACAGTATATTGTGTCTTTAAAATGTGTTATAAAATGTGTGATGAAAACATGTTTAATAGTAAATATTTAATAATAGTAAACGTTGAATGAATAAATGAAGAGAAGAGTTTTTTATATCAGTGTTTGAGGTAACTGCAAGACTACTAAAGTAATCGTTATAATCTAAGGCAAAAATGCATGTAATTTAATAATGTTCTTTTTCATAGGGTATTCTGTCGATCTCATCAAGGAAAGTAATGTTTTCAGCGGCGTGTATGAAGTGTCTTTGAAAATCTTTGACAAGCAGGAGCAGTATTCTGTCCAGAACCTCACTGTGACAGTGTGTGACTGTGTCAGTTCAGGACCACCAAACTGCAGATTCCGGAAATCCCCTGCTGCACAGATGGGAGCCAGTGCCATAGGGATCATCTTTGTGGTTTTATTTCTATTCCTTGGTATGATCATGTTTTTTTGTAGAATAATCACCATTATTATATAAGGTTTTTTCCTGGCAGTCATAGTATATATTTCAAGGAGTGCAGTTAACATCCTACTATTCCTAATTATATTCCTGAGCTGATTACAGAATTATTAAAAATGTTGACTGATAATTCTGAATTTTTTTTAAAGAATATGAAAAGTTTCACCAAAACATTAAGGTGCAAAACAGTTTTGTTTTACTTCATCCCATAAGTTTTAACTATTTCTCTTTTAATGCCTTTTGCATTTATTTTATTTGTTCTGTATGTCTAAAACCCTTTAGTAGGATTGTAGGGGTAGCCAGCACTCCAAAAGTGATTGTCCTACAGAAAGCTTAGTGACTGCATTACATAGCCACATCAGGTCTATATGGAGCAACATGGTGTGCACTAGTTTTATGAGTAATTGGTTGGTACCTGGAAATACAGCACTGTCTACAGAAATGGGCAATGGAGAACAAATCTTCTCACACCCAGAACTAGGGGAGCTTTTCCCACAATGATTGCAGATGTTTCCTCTTGATGGTTGATCCCCCATTTTCTCTACTGGACTCAAATCAGGAGAAAAACTGTCAACAGCAAAACGTTGTTTTTCTGATGGCATGCTGCTGTGTGTCGTCTTGATATTGTTCTGCTAGTTCTTTTAGATTGGCTTGCAGGAAAGGAAAGCTCTTGGCTCAAGGCACCTTAAGCCCTAAGGCTGGCCCACATTGGCACCAAAGACATTCTAGTGTTTGTTATGTCAACTTGTTTGTTGAATAGTTTGATTAAAAAGAAGGCACAGTTCAAGAAAACAACAAATGCGGTTCACACACATTACAGTGCAAAGGCATTGCTGTAATCCACTATTCTGGTCAACTAGGAGACTTCTTTGCTTTATCTTTCTGTGCCAATGTTGGTTGACATTACCACTAGAGGTACTGTTGTGAAGTCCCATTAAAAGCACTGCACCGCTCTTCAGTCCCCATGGCCCAAAGACCAGTGTTATCAATTCCACTTCTTTATGTAGCATATCATATTTTTTCCTGGACAGAATGAGCATTATTGCTTTTCTCTAGGTAAGAACAGGCTTATCCAGAAAGAAAAGAAGCTACAGGTCTTGTTTACCTCTAGGGTAACCTCAGATATGTCTCACATTTTCTGGTGGCTACTATTAGCTTGAATGAGCACAAGGTGCCACTCCCTCAGGGATACTGGCACTGATTGTTTTGAGATACAGACAAAATGTCAACCCGTACCCCCCCATCAAACTGTCCCCTGAGTAAGAAAGATTCTTTCAGATTCATATTTTATATATAGTATATTCTGTATTTCTGTAGCTGTCTTCTTATTCCATTAAGACTTCAAAGCATTAACAACACAGCCTCTAATACCATCTAGTTGTTTCCAGCAGATATCATTGCTCTCTGATACAGTCCATAACGCTAGGACTCGGGTGTCCTCAATTCCATTACATGTCATTGGGTTGTACACAGTGAGCCGGCTGTCCTCTCTTCTCATAAAACCTTAAACTCAGCAGGCTACTGCTAAACCAGTTTTAGTTACTAAACCAAATTTCTTGAGAAAAGAAAATAGAAGCTGCTGGTTCCTGCTGCCACAAAACCTTTTGCAACATTGAGAGACAAATAAATAAATAAATGGCGTTGTGTACATGTGTAGAAAAGCTTTCCTCCTAAATTAAACCTATAGTACTGATCTCATTCCCCTTTTGTCACAATTAGTATTTCATTAGTAAACTAATATTTCACCATTCTTTGGCTTGCAGGGTTATTGCTTTTGGCATTAACTTTTGCTGGCGAGAAAGAGAAATTCAGATTAATTAATGACAATGCAGGAAACACTTTGCTAACATCCAACACAGAAACTCCAGGAACTGACTGCATGGTAAGGCAACAATCTATAATAATCACTTAGACCATGTGTGAGCGCTGAAAGAAAATAACCTAAATTTTATGATGAGGCAATACAGATTGAGTCAATATTTCCCATTAGATTTCACTTTTAAATTGTTTTAAACTCTTCAAGGGCTATTGAAAGTAAGGCAAGCAAAAAAAAAAGAAAAAGTAGAAAAGGGGTTGTTTTAAAGTAAATTCTACTAGGTCCATAATGAAATTAATTATGTAGCGTCAATTACAGCTATTACTGTAATGTTGGTAAAAAGTTAATATGCTATACAATTGTGTACATAGACCAAAAAATAGTGAAACATACTGTAGCTATCACATAAACTGAAGTTATCACATAAACTGAAATTGTATAAATATTATATACAGTATGTGAGTTTTATATGTTTCCTCTTTCATTTACAGCATGGTATATGAAATAAACTGAATTAAAAAGCGATATACTTCAAAGTGAAGTGTATAATACTATGTTAAGAAAAGTCTCAGAAGGCTCTAAAATAGTAATTAATTTGACTATATTAACAAATGTCAATTTATCTATAGCTAAAACCACTGTCCTCTTTCACTCAGGTTTAAAAAGGGGAAAGGATTGTGCTACAGAGTTTTAATAAATAATGTTCTTTTTATAAAAAAATGTTAAGCCTAGTTATTTTAATCAAATGTCCTTTTGTAATATTCATGAGTGTTCAGTGAAACTGACAGCTGTTTTCATGGTGTGGTATGGCCCCTTTAAATCATGGATACCCCTCAGGCACATGGGATCGTAAGTTGTAGTTATGCTTGAATAATGAGTGACATACTGTAAGCAACTTATTCACCTGCATGCCTTCCAGCTCCACAGCTATGTGTTTGAAGGTGCAAGTCACATAAGAGGGTGTGTATGTATTTGTATGTGGTGAAGTGCTTTGATGTCATGGCTTACTTTGGTACTTTGAAGATAGTTTTTCAACAAGGGTTTAATGTACAAATAAAAAGTAGTAAATGCTTAAACACTCCATTTATTGTGAATATGCTAACTTTTAATTGATGTACAATATGTTAATCTTCCTTTATTTTCTTTATAAAGGTTCCCCATACAGGTCAGCAAGTTAACACCACTCAGGTTGATGCTGTGAATGGTCAAAACGCATTTGGTATATATCAACAATTCCACAGCAAGAATGCTTATCAGGTACAAATCAACTTTTGTATGCCTAGAGATGCAAGTCTCTGCATGCCCAAATGTATTTATTTAGAAATGTTGTAACAGACAGAAGCTACAAAAATACTTCATACTATGTAAAACAAGGAGGCAGCACCTTTTTTAATGGATCCTGAAATAAAAATGTTGGAAAAACTGGAGTCAGGACCAGTGGTGCAGGAATCTTGGTCTCTGCAGATGTACGAGAAGTGTTCTTTCTGAACTGCACCAACAAAAGCACTCAGGCAACATTTCACCTGCCCGTCTAACACCTACTTAAATATTCCATTTATTGTGAAGATGTAAACTTTTTATTGCTGTACTATATGTTAATCTTCCTTTATTTTCTTTATAAAGGTTCCCCATACAGGTCAGCAAATCAACACCACTCAGGTTGATGCTGTGAACGGTCAAAACGCATTTGGTATATATCAACAATTCCACAACAAGAATGCTTATCAGGTACAAATCAACTTTTGTATGCCTAGGGATACAAGTCTCTGCATGCCCAATTGTATTTAGTTAGATGTGTTGTAACAGACAGAAGCTACAAAAATACTTAATACTATGTAAAACATTTCACCTGCCCTACTAACAACTACTTCAGCGAAATGATTTAATTGCATTTGTTAGAACATTGTGGAGCAGCAGCTCATTGGCCAGTACACAATAAGTTTTCAGCAGAAGAGAGCTTAAAAATCGTGATATCAGCAAATGACTGTGTCATGCCCTCTACATCTAAAGGGCGCTCCTGCTCTGTCCTGTTCCTAGTTTCCCTGTGCTTTACTTGTTCTTCCGGTGTGTCTTGTTGTCTGGAGCTATATATTTACAGGTCTCCCTTTCCTCCTTGCTCGGCATTTGGATCAGTTGTCGTGAGGCTCACCTCACGAGGTCTCCCCACCTCTGCTACCTGAAGGCTTATATCTTGTTCCGACACTGCCCGATACCTTGAGCCCAGACCGAACCCCCGTGTTTGCTCTGTTCCTGACACTACGCATTGGGTCCACCTGTCCTGCCAGACTTTCTCCACGGCTAGCCCTCCCGGCTTCCGTGATAGAATGCCGAGCTTGCAGTGGACCCCGCCAGTGGTCTCTTGGCCACCCTGGCTTCTGTTCCTTGTTTTTTGTTTTTCTGGCTGCCCTGGGTTCTGGTCCTAGTCTCTCTTGTCCTTTTTCCTAGCTTCTGGTTTCCTGGCCTCTCTGGTTTCTGGTTCCCTGGCCTACCCGGCTTCTGGTTCCCTCTCTCCCTAGTATTGTTGTTTGTCCCCCTTTTCCTTTTGTGTTTATTTTTGTGTGTGATTTGTTTGTGTGATTTGTCTGTCTCCCCGTCCTGGGCTTCCACGCCCGCTGTCTCCCTGTCCCCGACTCCCACGCCCACTGGTCTCTCTGGTCTGGGCTACCATGCTCCCTGGTCTCCCTATTTTTCTAGTTATTTTCATGTGTTGTTTGTTCCCCTGTTCCGTCAGGGCGTATTTTTTTGTTGTGCGTGCTTGTTGTGCGGTTTTGTCTGTTTTTTTGTCTCACTCCCCTGGAACCCTACCTGGCCCCTCCTTCCTCTATTCAATAAAGGTTTTTACCCCGGAGGAGAGGGTAGCCCATAGCTGTTGACTCCCAGAGGTTTCCTTTCAGTTAAATGAGGTTTTTCCTCCTCCCAGTGCTGTGCAGCTTATTTATTTTTTGGGCATCAGGAGCCGCCCTTGAAGGGAGGGTACTGTCATACCTACATCTACATCTAGAGGGTGCTCCTGCTCTGTCCTGTTCCTAGTTTCCCTGTGCTTCTTCCGGTGTGTCTTGTTGTCTGAGGCTTTATATTTCCGGGTCTCCCTATCCTCCTTGCTCGGCATTGAGATCGGTTGTCGAGAGGCTCGCCTTACCAGGTCGCCCCATGTCTGCTACCTGAGGGCTTATGTCTTGTTCCAACTTTGCCCGATACCTTGAGCCCGGACCGAACCCCCATGTTTGCTCTTTTCCTGCCACTACACATAGGGGTTTCCTGTCTCATTGGTCTCTCTCCACGGCTAGTCCCTGGCTTCCGTGACAGATTGTCTTACAAAAGCACTGCTCGATTGCTGTAATCATGATATATTAACACAAGCTAGTCTTATAGATTATACAATCATTCATAAGTAAATATTTCTTGTGCTGATTTTCTATTTGTTGTTTCACTTTCAGAGCATTTACAGAAATCCAAGTTATCAATCAACCATTAATCAATACCATCATAAACATCATCAACAAAATCACCATTATATGCGTAAGGTAGGTATTCTCTTTTAACTCTGAATATCATTTTTTAAAATCAAGAGTTCATAATTAATGTGTTCTGAAAATATTGTGTTAATATATAAGTGTTATTATTGTTTTTACGAGCAGTTTCTACTATTTCCTTTGTATTTCATAGTGTTTTTGTGCACAAATAGATACTTTACTGTCCACAACTGTGGGAATTTGACTTTTCTTCTCCCATAAGAAGTACAACGAACATTAGACACACACACAAAATAAAACATAAAAGTCACATAAAGTCGTCTAAAATCAGGTGCATTAAAGCATAAGAACAGTACATAAAATCAAAGTAAAAAAGAAGTGGGGGGAAACCAGAGATATGGTATGAAAAGAATAAAAGATTTCAAGGTCTAAAACTTTACATGATTGTTAGAGATCATTACATTTTATTTACATTTGTAAATCTGGTTAAAAGAAATATTTCATATATGTTTGATTTAACTGGATTGGATTGGCTTTACTCTTTCATATTTGAATGTAATTCTGATATTTGTCATAGAGACAAATTAGAGTATTTTGGTAGGGAGCTTATGAAGTGCGTGTACCACACATACCACAGTAAAACAAAAGCAAAATCTGTAAGTCTACAATACAAAAAAAATAATTTGTTAACATATGAACTGGAAAACATTAACCCTTTACTGATTTTCTAAACATTAAGTATTAATATTAGGCATCAAAACTGCACTTTATCTTAAAGTTTAAAGGGCTTTGCTCTATTAGAACCTTTCAAATGCAGTGATTATTAAAAGGATGAAGTTTAGATCTGGCATGTCTCTGGTAACATTTTAGTTTTTTGGAAGTGAAGGGCGTTTTCATTTTCATATATATTTATTTAGAAATTAAACTGCTATACTTTTGATATTGGAAATTGTATTAGTATATTTAACAGTATATCTATATCAGAAGATATTGTTTAGTCATCTTATGTTTAAGTAGTATTCTTAGCACAGAACTTCTATGGTGGGTCACCAGAACAGTCTCCAGAGGCGTAGTCGATATAGCAATCCGAGGTCCTAAAGCTGTAGGTAAACAAGTCGGTGCAAAACCAAACCAGCAGTGGAGCCGTAAGCCGCATGGAAGCCAAGGGTTGAAACCAGAACGATAACCAAAGTACCAAAACCAAAGCCAGGAGACAGTCGGAAAACAAACCAGGGTCAGGAAACCAAAAACCAAGTAGTAAGTTCCAGCGAAAATGGAAGTAGCTCTAACCAGGAAAAACCCTTATACTGAGCACAGGGTTGAGTGTGAAGCAGCATTAAATAGGCTAATTGGGAACCTTTCTGGAATGCGAGGTGGAATGATGAATCCTCTGGGGGCGTGGCATAACATTATCCCCCTTCCCAGGGGTGGCTCCTGACGCCCGAGGATTGATTGCAGAGATGAAGGCAGAAATCAATAATCAGTTGAAGGTCCAAAATGTCCTTTTTCGAGAACCCAGGAGCGATACGCGGGTCTGTAGCCCTCCCAATCAACAAGATATTGTTATCTGCCGCGGAACCAGTGAGAATCCAGGATCATACTTACAGTGAATGCTGGGAGTCCATGAATGGTCTGGGGGGTAGGGGCCGAGGCTGGGGTCTGGAAAGGGGAGGCCCCTGAATCGATAAAAGTGAGAAGATTAACTTTAGACGAGTCCCAGGAGAGGGAAGCGGGAATAGACAAGGCATTAGAAGAGGTAGCAAAATGTTTATCGTGTCTCACCTGGGGACTGGGTTTAGACAGGGGGCGCCGTGGAGGGCGGGAGGAACAGTCCGAATGGTAATGACCTAGAAGACCACAGTAAAGACAACAATTCTCCCGTATGCGCTTCTACCTTTCCTGTGGAGTGAGGCGGGAGTGTAGAATCTCCATAGGTTCCGGGGGGCGGGTGCGAGGGTCAAACTGAGGGGAGCGAGAGTGGGAGGTTGAGTAGGTAAAGGAAGGTTCTGTTTGTCTCCGTAATCCTCTACCGCGAAGCCCGTCATACAATTCGATCACGAGGCAAGAGAAACATATTGTCTTTAATTGCATCCGAGAGCCCTTGCTTTAAAAGGAAGATCAAAGACTCATCACCTCAGGATAGCTCCGCCGCAATAACTCGGATTTCCATTGCATAGTCCACCACTGACCTCTTGCCCTGCCTCAAAGCCATCAGTCGGGAAGGTGCATCCTGAGACGGGGAGGGGTGATGAAATACCTTTCTTAAGGTCTCTTGAAAAAGATTAAAATCTGAAATTTCAGGAGCCTGTGACTCTAAGAGTGCAGTTGTACATTCAAGAACCCTTCCAGAAAAAAAAAGAGTTAATAAAAGCTACCTTACCCTAGGAGATAGAAAATTCTTCTGGATGTAAATGAAATACCTGAGCTAAAAAGCCCCTACACTTGCTAGGATCACCGTCAAACCTCTAATTGGGCTAACTGGGAACCGTGCTGGAATGCGAGGTAGAATTACAAGTTCTCCGGGGGTGTGGCGTAACACATATGCCATCTACACCAATAAACTAGCACAATGCTCAAATCATAGCAATTACAATGCTGTAAGTGCACCAATAATCTAGTGCAATAATGAAGCACAGAGAAAATAATGGAGTCATCATGTATCTGTTGTGTGTACCTGTTTTTAAAGTTGATCATTTCCCCCTACAGGACCTTCAAACTACCTCCACCTTTACTAACTTTCTAGTACATGTTAGTTGAACCCTCTAACATATCTCTCACAGTTTTTCAAATCTCATACAATATATTTGAGGGTACTGTATGCAATCTCATTCTTTCCAACTGCCATGAAAAAGACTCTCTAATATGATAGAATGTCAAAAAATATTATGCACCAGTTTTCCACTTTCAGATGTAATTTTATGTCCCAAAGGGTTCGCAGAGATCACACACTGGATCAACAGTTTCATCAAGAATGAGAAGCAATGGCCTTTTCTTCAGAAAAGAGAAACTGCAAACAATCATCAAAGAGGTAACAATGATGACAAAGGCACATTTCTTCATGATTATTGCAAATGTAAACCAATGATTATGACCAATACAAGTTGTGTTTCTGATTAATTTTACTTACAACTAGAAATACAGAAAATAAATACATTATATTCTTTAAACCGCTAAATTATGTTTTACCAATCTGCCTTTTTTTAACGTTTAAGTACAAGCCATCTAAAAATCGTCTTTGTCATAAACGTAAAACTATGTTTCTATGTTTGCAGTTTGTACTCTTTTCTTCTTGTTTATAAGGTATTTACGTATGGAATATCAGGACAAACAGAATCCTACTAATGGTAGAGAATGGTAAAGGTTTTAGTTTCCATTTGGTTTTTAACATAATTTTTGAAGTCAGAAAAGCTAGACTAGTAACTTGCTTTGGAAAACTGTTATATAGAATTATAATGTGCTTAATTGTTTATTTACAGCAACAGCTTTCATTACAAAGCAATGGCAATGAACTGCATGACTATCCCCCTCACATTTATGCTGATGAAGGAGAACCCATGAGTGACCCAGAACTTGATCCCATTTCCATTGATGAACAGGAGTTTGTGTCTGACCAGCTCCATGACCTGGGCCCAAAGTTTAATGATCTTGCTGCTACTTGTATGCCTGTTCCTAAAACACATTAGGACAAACCGACTGGCGAGGAAATCAAGACGGCCAACCAGACAGCAGCTCGATTACAGATGGAAATGTCTCATGTACTTTAACAACATTAAATAAAAGTACAGAGGGATTTTTATAGACTGTGTATAGTCAGCAAAATTGGGATTGTTCTACTCCACATCAGTGTTGAAGACACTAAAGGTCTAAAACTGCCAAACATGGTAGAAAATCCAAGAAACTGTTTTGTAAGAATTTGTTTTAAAATGTTTTGAAATTCCATCTCTCAAAATAAGTTCTATGTTGCTTGTAGCAAGTGTGTAATTAATGAACTGCAAAAGGCAGTGAAGAGTTGGACAGGACAGAGTTGGAGTTAATGACCTCCATAATATATAAAAAGTTTATTACGAGTTATAAAGTGCACTGAAGTGAATAAACTCGGTGTTAGACAGCATTCACTGAATGCAGTGAAACGTTAGTTTGTAAAAAATATTTTTGGCTGGTCTACAATACAATATTACTGGTATAACGTCAGAAAGGTGAATTTTGTCAAGATGTGGTAGAAAACCATGCTGTGGCAGCCACTCTGTTAAATTTATGTATCAAGAGAAATCAATTAAAAAGAAAGAATATACAGTACATGATAACATTGATAATAAATTTATCTACATTGTTTGCAGTTGTGTTCCATTTTGAAAGATGTAAATGTATTATGTAATTTATTGTGAAAATACATAGATCCCACCACTTCAATAGTATCATAATATTAATATCATAATATCCCCTCCTTTTGTAGTTATTGCTCTAATTGAATGATTGAATTAAACTGTGCCTTTTATTAATTTTGATTAAAAAAAATCTCCCATGTGTTTTCAATGTTTTAGTATTTCACAGAACCACTAAAACAGAGTGTTAAACACATACTTCAGAGAACACAATTTTTGGTGCTATATAGGTGACATATTGTGACATGTCTATCACTTTCAGATGACCAGTTACTTTCTGGCATTACACCACTACAATAGTGATTTTCCACCAGAGTTAGTCTTTCCTTAAAAGAAAGTTAAAGGCACTGAAGTCCGAGTGCCTTTCAAAAAGACAGGAAAGCCTTGTAAAATTAAAAATGTAAATGTAGTCTTTTATTAATGCTTATGAAGATAAAATTTTGGAAGGTAGCAGGTCTTGTTTTTTGAAAATAATATATTTTTATAGAAAAAACATTCTACATTATTTTTTTCGATACATTAAAAATCTCTGCAGCTTAACAAAACCATGGAAGATATGCCACAGCAAATGGTATTTAGCAAATGTGACAGCAAATGTTATTGTTTGAGTTTTAAATTTCCAGAAGTCATTTTTTATATACAGTATATGTCTCAGGTAATTTAATTTGAACTGTATACTTCTTTACAGATCATTTACCATTTCCTCAGATTTTACTTTTGAGGAAATTTTATTTATTCACTTTTGCACTGTGACAGTGGACACAAACAGAATTTAGCGCAGTCTTGAAACCTGCATGCCTCTCTTAATTTAAATAAAATTTAAAATAATTTAATTTGGCTTTTGCAAACTGCATAAATGCATCCAAAAACCTTTTGGGGCAAATAAGCAACTGTATTGTACTATGAAAAGAATAAAAGAATAGACTTGATTAATGAAAATTGAAAGTTAATTATGAAGAACATTAATGAATTGCTACTAAGATTTTTTGCCAGATATAAATGATGACTTTTGGTAGCCTAATAAATCTTATCTTTGGTAACTGAATACAGTATACTTTGTGTAAGCTGTGATTTTTATATTGAATTTCATACATTCAGATGCACAAACATACATACAGTATATACAGAGGTTTCCAAAATTATTCAGTTGCCTTCACTTTAACTCAGACAGTGTAGGGTTGCAAATCCATCCCAGGAATGGGTCAATTGCTTTTTGTAAAGAATGATATAAGTGTGAAGATTCATGCACATCCTATAGAGGATGGGGGCTCAGTAGTTAACATTGCTGCCTTGCAGGACTGGGGCCCTGGGTTCAATTCCTGCCTTTGTGTGCTACAGTATCTGTATGGAGTTTGAATGTTCTCCCCATTCAAACTCAGACAGACTGGTAGGTTAACAGGCATCTGGGAAAACTGGTCCTGGTATGAGTGAGTGCATGTCTCGATTGTGTCTTTGAGTGCCCTGCAGTAGACAGGCATTCTGTCCACTGTGTCCAGTGCTTGCCAGGATAGGCATTGGTTAGAAAATGGATGAACATAGTGTTATGAACAGCATCTTCCACAATGTCTCTGCCTCTGAGACACTATAGCACAAATACTTCAGTCAGCAAGAGGGTTGGTTTTGAAGATTCAGTCTTTAGATTATTCACTGTCAGAATAATTTCATGGACTATCAGCTTTACCCACCTCTTGAGGATGTGGATATACTGGATATACATACACAGTTCCTTTGTTTGATGTGGGCTAAAATAAAACATTTTTTGGCACTTTTATGTGGTATTTTTGTGTATGAGTGCAGGTTTATAAGGTATTTGTTTTGGGTGATCCGGTGTTTTGGTGAGAATTTTTTACCAGGTATTGGTTTTGCATGGTGGATTTGTTTGGACAAGTACAGTATAAATAAAAATAAAAAAATTACCACAAAAGCAACTGCCTGTGTTTTTCCTTTCTCTGTTTTTTGTGCTAGTATTTTGTAATTAAGTGGTTGGATGGGATCCTCAGATCAATTACTGTAGCTATTGAAGCCAAACTGTACCAAGAAGCCTCCTTTTGTTTATTGACAAGATTGTTATGTTCTGTTTATGAATTGTAGTAACTTAGCTTCAATGTGACTGTTTCCTACTTTCATAATTTGTCATCTTACATTTGCTTTTAACTATCTTATATCCCTATTGACCATGATATTGTTTATATTTTTTGGATTATAGTGATACTTCAAAATCAATACATATTATAATTTGTCTTATAATTAAATTGCAAATTATACATTTATACTGTACACCTTTAAAACATAAAATAAAAGGAGTATTTTTTATTAAAAAATCAGTAAGTTCCTGTCAGTTCCAGAAAATACCTATTCTTATTGTGCAGTGCATTATTTTTAACAAAGAACATACCATTATTGTCACACCCTCTACAGCTCCTAGTCTGTCCTGTTCCTAGTTTCCCTGTGCTTTGCTTGTCCTTCCGGTGCGTCTTTGTGTGGGGCTATATATTTCCAGTTCACCCTTTCCTCTTGGCTCAGCATTAAGGGTACGGATGTCCTGAGACCTGCCTAGCACCAGGTCATTCTTGTCCATGGCCTGAGGGCATAGGTTTCTTACCGACATCATCTGACCCCCTGAGCCTGGGCTAAACCCCATGTTGCCCCTTTAACAACTACGCACATGGTCTCTACTGCCCTCCTTGTCGTTCCACGGCTTGCCCTTCCTACAACCCTGACAATTATTTACTGTTTATTAGTCTTTAAATGTATTATTATTCAGTCTTGCAGAAAAATAAGAATAGAACTTATTGTAATTTACTATACCTAATTATTCTGAAATTATTTTAAAATCAGTGCAATTTACATAGTAATATTCTGAGCTCACAGTATTAGTTATCAAAACATGCCACTGCTTTGTCTTTTCCCAAAGACTTATTCTGAAAAGGAAAGGTTACTGTGCTTCAAATACACAGGAGTAATTTAAAGGTACAGAAATAACAAAACATTACAGCACCTTAGCAATGTTATGTCGATGAAATTGTAAAGGATCACAAAAAACAAATGGAATATTTTTCCGCATCATTTGATTTTAACGTGACACCTTTGTTTGACATTCACTTTATATTTTTAAGACACATTTTAGTTTTTTCAAGATTATCATATACATACTGCAAAGTCTTCTATATTATACTACAAATTTTAAAAAATGTTCTAGAGAAAATATCTCTATGTATCTAAGTGCAGATCTTATTACACTTGTAGACCAGTTACAGTGTGACTGAATTATTATCATACAAAATACATTGTGATTTCAGTATTCTGCTCTGTTTTGATTATTTGTATATCAGTTTTCTTAATGGGATTTGTAATAATTTTAGTCAGAGCTACAGTATCTCTGATCTTATACAGTGATTTACTGTGTATTTTAAAGGCATTTCTACTAAACATTATTGTTACTATATCATTTTTTCTACAAGAACAAGATGTAAAACTTTGTTGTGGACAAAATACTTTAGATTTTGTTTCTTACTAGTTAGTAAAAGACAAAGCTTAATTTTTTTAAAACATGTTTTTTTCTAATTACTAAATTACAATATTTAAGAAAGGTTAAGATCAATACATTTTATGTGCTATGGTATAGGTTTAATAAAATTATGTAGTGGTTCTAGAGTAAACATTTTAGTCTTAAGTTGTTTTGTCCCTAGATTTGTTTACATACACCATTTAAACAAAAACATTTTGCTACTAGTGTGATGTACAGCAGGAGGTGTCTGGTGAAACTGCATGAGTCAATAATTTCCCACAAGCTTGAGATCCATCTTAAAAATAAAAGTCATTCATTGATTGTCAATTGAAAATTGGTTTTCTATTAAGAGCTGTAGAGAAGATAAGCCTAACTAGTCTGTAATGTGATTTATCCACTGTATGTAGTCTTCCTTGATAATCAGAATTTATTTTGATTCTTTACTTTTTACAAATTACATATGATCTATCCTTATGTTTTAGTAACACATTTGGTTTAAAACTCAGTGAAATATTAGGCTCAAGAATAATGCTAAATGCTCTGAATTAATCTGTAACCCTGTTCTTTTTCTGACTATTCTTGTAACTCTTAACGTACATATTTGCCATTTTCTGTATGCTATCTATATATTTTGTAGCAATTTTGTATTGGATTTAGGTTTCATATCCACATGTTAAGCAGTATCTTACCTGAGGATTTCCCTTTGAAGGTGCAAAGATATTTACCCCTTCAGGATCCCATTTATTCTCCTGAAAACATCAGAGTTTCTTTGTGTTTTTCTATTTTAAGGCTCATGATTTCAATGGAAAGACTGATATCAGATTGTGTGGAAAAGGCACATTTGGCAAACACTGCTTTGTTTTTAAATACGAGTTAAGACCTGCAATAATGCTAGCTGAGTGTAGAATTTAAACTTCTAAAAGAGGTTGTCCAGTTGTCCCAGGTCAATTTGCTATTGTGAAAGTTTTACAGAAAGAGTGAGAAATACTGTTAGGTTATTATTATTAGGTACATCAGCACATCAAAGTAATGCAATATACTTTTAAGGCATCAAACAGCTACTGTGCTCACACACGGTTTATACAGTATGTCACCAAATATTCTAATTTGTTCACAAGCCCTTATACAATACTCTATCTCCTTGATAATAAATAGTAATCAACTTCTTTATAAAAAAAGGTAAAAATGTATTGAATCTTAAACAATAAAGGCTGTGATAGTAGATTGAACAGTGCACCACCCATACATCTGTGATTCTTGGTGCCGATATGTGATGCATATACTGTTGGAGTTCCTGAGAATTTTCTTTCTGTTTCTCTTTATGCTCTGTGTAGAATATCAGTAGACCATCGTGTTTTCAGTGCCAAAGAACAGGTCATGCAGAACAAACATTATGCTGAAGCTAGAATGTCGTGCTAATGCAATTGAGAGTAGCAACCCAACCTTACCTGACTATTTTTTTTATCTGAGTAATTCACTTCTCTGGAATTCCAACAGCACCGAAGTATCACTTTAGCCCCAACTCGTTGCTTGTTAGGCTGCAATAAGTCTTTAATTTGATTGATGGCTGATTTCTAAGTAACACTGTCGTGGCTGTGGGTGGGTGAATGTGGAGTTTCAAGCTCTGCTTCTTAATCATTAGTGAAGCCATTGAAATAATATTTTCTGTCAGTCTGCAGTGTTATTTTATGATGTTTTATTTTATTAATATTTTAAGTAAACAACATTTAGACATGTTGTGCCCTGCCTGGGGCTCATCAGTGCATTGCATTCACTTTTGATTGCAATCTTGTTTTTTTAGTCCTTCCTTTTTGCTGATTGCTCTAGTCTTTGCTAGGGACAAGATTTTATCTTATGTTAGAACTAGGAAAATCTGTGTGCAGTCATGGGAAAAAATATCAGGGCATTAATGGAGAACCCCAGCTGCCATGGAAAAGTACTGCCATTACAATTACCAGATCCTCTCAGTAGACCAATATGTTGGGTGTGTTGCAGGAACCACACCTGTCTGGTTGTGTTTTAATCAGAATGGCGGTGTGGAGAGTTGGAGGAATAAAGGATGTATTGTTCACATCTCACTTCTTAGGAAATAGTTATCTGTTTCCATTCTGAAAATTAGTACATTTGGAATTTCAAAAGCTTTATAATATTCTAAATATTTCTAAATATATTCTTGAAAATATTCTAATATAACAGCATACAGTCTAAATACAGTATCTAATTGTACAATTCGATAGGAATAACACTGAAGAATTAAGTGTATTGAAAAAACGTTTATTAATTGTTTCCTAGTAAATTGGGTATAATCTGTTTGGCTAAGGGCCACACCTTACAGATTTCAGCTTTTAGCAAGTCTCGTGGAAGTTTCCTGGAATTCATTCCCAGTTTGCCTTTCATCTGAACACACTTTCTTACCATGTCCATTCTTCCATACACTTACACGTGCTTCATATGAGCTTTTTAGCATGGGAGAGGCCTCTACATGTGCCGTAACCGGGTAAAACTACAGCTGATGGTCTCAGACACAATTCATAAGCACCCAGCTGTATGTTTGGTTTCAG